AAAATACGATGGAATTAGCAAATCCACATAGACACGTAATACAAACAAAAATCAAGGTCGCATTCTAATTACAATGATAACAAAATACATACACAACACATAAAACAAAACATAAATCTTATAAAAAAGGAAATTCATAATGTTAAATTTTTGCATGTTCATAAACATACCATGATTTAAATACAAATAGACATGTTCCACTGACCCGAAAACCTGTATCTTAAGGGGATCCAAGTCCTACATCTTTTTTTGCATGTCCTTATGAACCCAACCCTAATTTTCCTTTTTAATCGAGGAATTGGATTTCGTTCTGTCTCTTTATTAGGAGGAAGAATATTTATTATTCTGCGAGTATATGATTTGCGTAAAATATTTGTCACTGGAGTCACAGTCACAATAAATAAATAAAACAATTATTATGAAATATGCGTCTCTTTACATTATAAAGCTATTCATCAATCAATAAGTCATTTATTCGAGCAAACGTACCAAGCCAATCAACCGATTAGTGAACGCAAAAATTCCTGAAGGTTGATTCTTTGCAAATTTCAATATATCAATCGATTAATTAACCTACCTAAATATTACCAACCATCCAAACCAACCAATCCATATGAAAACATTTAATTGATGTTATCCAAAATTTTATCAACCAACAAACCACTCAGTTAATTATCATCATAGAATAGGTGGAAAGACTTCACGAACAATATTTTTAAATTCATTGGAAGTAATGTGAAAAAAAGCTACAATGTATTGATGTGCCTAGTAAATCAGTAAATACATTGACACTTTTGAGATGATCACTTATTTAAATGTCTCAACTCTAGCCTCATGACTGTCAGTTGTTCATTGGAAACATTTATCTTACATGTGTAATACAACACTGTTATTCAATAATCAACGATGAAACGGATTTTTTTTCCAACGGGACAATCTGGATTTATCACAGACAGATATTTGCACATAATAAATCATAGTATGAGTTGATTACTTTTTACTGTGCCTTGTGTTCCATCAAGAAGTATTAACTCATTTGTGTGCTGTTATAGTATAACAATGTGAACAGAAGATTTAAATATTACAATAGTTTATATGCGCAGGCATATTAGAAAGCTGTAGTATTTCAGTCAGGAATGATGAAATCATACTACAACTGTGAATAATTGTACATTGTGGTTCGATATATATATGTGGTACAAGAATAAGACAATTGGAACATATTGATCTTCATAAAGTGAGAATTTTATAGTGTGAAATACTTATTAATGCAGCAGATAAACTTTATTAATAATATAATATATTAGATCACTTAAAATTAGTGTTGTCAAATTGAACAGTTTTTTTTAACCGGTTACTCGAACAATCTTTCGACCGATTAACCGGTTAACCGGTAGTTAAGTTAATGTTTTAAAGCTCTCAGTCTGTACTCTCTACAAATGCTAATGATAAGATGAATTGAAGTATATAATTGGGCATTATAAGTCTTGGCCCTGGTAACGTTTCATTTTCAATAATCCGATACTACCATATCTACTTTGCCGTTTGTAATAACTTCAGATTTAAAAGATGAACATCTTCTTGATATCGGCGAATTTACAAAGTCTGAAACCAGTGATTGTTTCATTTCTCTGGTGTCTCAGAAAATTATGTGGAGTGTTTCAGTTTGAGATGATATAGCGTGTTACTCGTACCACACGGTATTTTAGATTATTTCCATTCACATAAATTGCGTTTTACCATTTTTGAGTCGGCATTTCGTTTAAAGTATGACAAACTTCTTAGACAATGGAGGTGGATTTTTATTACATGTAGGTCTACGCAATATATTATATCTTATATTATAGCAAAGTGCTCTCGACCAATGAAAGTGTAGAATTTGGTGTAGTAATTGTGAAGAATGAATATAAACATCTTCTTAGTAAGGGATTATCCTATTGTTTAGGCCTATTTACAGTTGAAAACAAAGAATTAATATAAATGAGTCACAACTGCCCGAAGCACTTTTATCAAATTGACAGAATTATTAGTTGAAAGCTGAATTTTGAAACAAACAAAAAAATCAAAATAAGTTTGAAGTTTGCTTGTACAGTATAATTGTATAGTTTATGTTATTATGTGAATATTTAGAACTTCGAAATTACAACAAAAAGCATTATCAAAGTAATGTGAAAGAAGAAAAAGAAAAAAAAATCTAAAGTTTAATTTAACCTAAATCTTGAGCTAATATGCCTACCAAAAATCAGATTACTGTATCAATAATTAGTAGGAATAGTCATTCCCAATAGTACATACGTGAAATCGAATTACAAATACAACTTTTAAATTTCTTTAAAAAAAAACCAACATTTTCTTTTAATTGTTACATTTTAGTTAATAAAGTAGTATTTGATGTAAACAGCTGGACTAAAATTGGATGTGGAATGCAAACTAGTTGTAACTCTGATTTTGAATTTATTAGATTAAAATGTAAATAAACAAAACGATAAGTCCTCATTAAATTATTACATAACTCACAATTACGAAACTTATACAATTTCTACCATTTCATTGTACCGTTGTGTCAATCAATGTCTAAAATACAATTTATTATAATTTCCCAAACTAAAAGTTAGTCCTCACATCAATAAGATTAATATATAAATGAAATACCTACAAAAGGAGTCATCCATTAATTATGAACATTGCACTGACAATGAAACACATTCTTGAATAAAACCAATCAAGAGGTCATTTAAGCCTTGAGCACTTTACAATATTCTAAGTTTGAAATATAATGATTATCCCTTTTCTTCATGATAAGTACTCGCTAACGCTCGTACTTAATCATGAAGAAAGGGGTTATCATTCTCTTACATATACAAAGTAAAATAATTAAGTAAATCGTAAAATTTAATCACCTTACAACGGTTCGAAATACGTGTACGCTAATGCCTCGAGTTGATAGACAAGTTGTCATCGTGTTAATCAATTTTGTAAAATTGGAGTGTTTTCAAGGTTAATAATAGTAATCAATAGACTGGACAATTAATATGTCAAATTAATTAGTACGACTATCATTTGAAACATTTATTAATGATGTCAATACATATTTATGTCAAATATATTAAAATTGAAAAAAAAGGTGCGGTTAACCGGTTAGCGTTTTTGGTATTCGATATTCGGTCCTTCCGAAGGTTAACCGGTTAACCGATTAACAGTTGACAACTCTACTGAAAATCGTAAATGTTTGTCATTAGTAAAATCACTGACTGGTCTCATATGAAGAAGACTGCAGTAATATTTTCTTCAAACAACAATTTATATTTCAATATATTCATAAAATTGAGAATGGAAATGGGGAATGTGTCAAAGAGACAACAACCCGACCACAGAACAGACAATAGCAGAAGGCCACCAACAGGTCTTCAATGCAGCGAGAAATTCCCGCACCCGGAGGCGTCCTTCAGCTGGCCCCTAAACAAATATATATACTAGTTCAGTGATAATGAACGCCATACTAAACTCCAAATTGTACACAAGAAACTAAAATTAAAAATAATACAAGACTAACAAAGGCTAGAGGCTCCTGACTTGGGACAGGCGCAAAAATGCGGCGGGGTTAAACATGTTTTTGAGATCTCAACCCTCCCCCTATACCTCTAGCCAATGTAGAAAAGTAAACGCATAACAATACGCACATTAAAATTCAGTTCAAGAGAAGTCCGAGTCTGATGTCAGAAGATGTAACCAAAGAAAATAAACAAAATGACAATAATACATAAATAACAACAGACTACTAGCAGTTAACTGACATGCCAGCTCCAGACTTCAATTAAACTGATTGAAAGATTATGTCTTCATCATATGAACATCAGGCACAATCCTTCCCGTTAGGGGTTTAGTATCATACCATCATAACATATATGAGAAGAACATAACCCGTGTCATGCCAACAACTGGTTTTTAAATAAATGTGTTTAGTGCCGATGCAAAGACCCTATAAATGAATCAATATTAACGCCAAAATATGCAATCTTTAATGACCTGACAACAGTATCGTAACTATATCCCTTCTTAATAAGTCTATTTAAAGGTTTTGTTAGTTTCAGAGGTGAATACTGCATTCTTCACTTAATATTGTGGACGACTTACAGTTGTTTTGTTTTTTCTTCAATTGTAAACACAAGATAAATATAAAGAAAAACTGCTAACAAGTCACATGTATCCGAGAGATGTACTGATTATATGTTTTCGTAGTCTAATTAGTAATTCAACTGAATGTGGATTTTATGCGACTGTCATACAAATGAGAGGTTTAGCCAGCTATGAAACCAGGTTTAATCCACTATTTTCTACATAAAGGAATGCCTTTACCAAGTCAGGAATATGACATTTGTTTTCTATTCGTTTGATGTGTTTAAGCTTTTGATTTTTGCTATTTGTTGAGGGACCTTCCGTTTATAACTTTCATTGGAGTTCGGTAATTTTTGTTATTTTCATTTTTGTTTGTAGAGCGGTTGATGTATGCATGGCAGTAAATACTTGCCCTGTTGACGCACCCGGTCTCGCCCCTTAAGAGGTCATGCAATTCCTTTCGGTTTTGTTTTTGTCTAAAAATATGTATATACATGTTTGTCTACCATTTCCTTGTTTGTAATTGATATGCCCTTACTGGCCCTTTAATTAGGAAATAAAATGATTTGATTTGATTTTGTTTGTCACCTTGATTTCTCCCCGTAATCGATTTATGAGATTTGAACATAGGTTGACTACTTTTGCCGTATTCAAGATTAATTTTTCAGAAGCTTATAATACAATAATATTACACGTTTCTTATGGAATGCGCCCGTAAAACTTATAACTTACTATAACGGATGAAAGCGTACTGTTTTATGTCAAAGTAATGTTACAGTTCCATGAATTATATATAAAAAAGTATGCATTCACATAACTGATTTTCCTAAACAACAATCAAACTAACCGTTTTATTTATATCAAATATATATAAAATATTTTAGGATGATTTACAAAAACTTCTTGACAGTGATTAGAAATGGAACCTTTAATGGTCTAACATCGCTTCAAACACTGTGAGTATACATGTACTATATATATATAGAACATTAATTCATGAAACAAATAACAGCTCCACTCTACTATTGAATATATACTGAATGTCTATTTAAAACTGCAGGTCTACGTAATCTATAGACCATTTCTTACAATAGAAACATCATAGATAACAGGATGAAAATTGTGTACGCCAGACGCACATTTCGTCTACAAATAGAATAAAACATTAGGTCGTTAATATTTGTCTTTAGTTGAATTAATTGCTGGTCTCAAATGTAGAGAAATACATTAATATTGAGAGATCAATCGACTACTGAAATATTTTCATGCATTGTTCTATTGGTATTAAAGACAACAGCTAAAAATTCAACTGTATCCGAGATATAAACTGATTACATGTGTTGGCAGTTAAACTGTAATTTAACCGAGTGTGTCCTATTCCTGATAGTGACATGTTTACTGAGTGTGGATTCGTATGGCATGTGATGCATGCATAGCTGGAGACTTTTGCCTTGTCAACGCCGCCGGACTCGCTCCTAATGGAGATCATGTGATTCTCTCAGTTTGTATTTGTTTCATTGATTTGTCTTCTTAATCGATTTATGAGATTTGAACATCGGTAAACTACTCTTCCTTTAAATCTAATTTCATTTTTTTTCAAATGCTTATAATGCATCAACATGTCACATTTTTTATGGAATGCGTCCACTATACTTATTACCAATGAATGCTTATAACCAGTGATTATGAATGAAAGCGTACTATTTTATGTTAAAGTTGTGTTGTATTTTCATAAATATACAAAGGGATGCATTTGCATAACTGATTTTCCTAAACAACAATCAGACTTGACGGTTATAGTAAATACATGTAAAATATCTTAGATATATGCAATACAATTTGCTGACAGAGATTGAAGATGGAAATTTTAATGGTATGGCATCGCTTCAAACACTGAGAGTATATCATGTATATATTAAATTAAATCAAATAACAAATTATAGCTACAATCTACTTTTGAGTATATACTAAATGTCGATTGAAAAATGTAGGTATACTTAATTTATAGACAATTTCTGACAATATACACCTCGTAGATACCGGGATTAAATTGTTGCACGGCAGTGGTGAAGCTCTTACGTCCTTACAACTAATTGTTCTCGAGTAAGGACCACTTACTATATTTCATAAACCTCCGATATGAATTATCCCTCTTACCAAAGATTCGTATCTTTTTGGTAGAAGCATAACAGTTGTTGCTTACTGTCCGGCATATTTTCCATCCTATAAAGTTACAAATTCGAAGTTAAAAACGTTCCGCATTTTTGCCACTTCCGAAATAAATGGAATTTTCTACATAATGGTGGGGGGGGGGGGGGCCGAAAACTTTTCGGTCAAAATATAAGGAAGTTAAAGACTGCTTAAAACCAGTGATTACGAATGAAAACGTACTGTTTTATGTTCAAATTGTGAAATATCTTCATAAATAAAAAAATAAAAAGCGATGCATTAACATAACTGATTTTCCTTAATAATAATTAAACTTGCCAGTTATAGTAAGTATATGTAAAATATTTTAGGAATATTAACAACAATTTGCTGACAAAGATCAAGAATGGAACCTTTAATGGTCTAACATCGCTTCAAACACTGTGAGTATGTCATGTATATATTACATTAAATCAAGAAACAAATTATGGCTTCACCCTTCTATTGAATATATACTAAATGTGTATTGAAAACTACAGGTATACGTAATCAATAGACAATTTCTTACAATAGAAACATCATAGAAACGATGATGAAAAATTTGAACTCCAGATGCGCATTTCGCCTACAGATAGACTTATTTATTTTAAAGCTCCACTTAACTGAATATGTACTAAGTATCGATTGAAAACTACAGGTATATGTAATCTATAGACAATATCTTATTCACAATTTTAGGATTGCATAATATGATCCGTAAACACGAATACTCAGAGAAATAATGGGGAAATGAGACAATATGTTTACTGGGGGGGGGGGGCATTGTGCAAAGGTTTTTAACTCAATTTTCTGAGATTATAGTGTGCATGATTTTGATCAAACAGTAGCATAAACGTTTGAAACATTTTGCATTTTAGATACCTATCTTACAACAAAATCTCGGAGCTTGAAACTGGAGTATTTTTCAATCTTCCAGCACTTCGCTACCTGTAAGTAAGCTTATGATTTAAGTGAAAACATGTTACATCTAGTCACATTGCAAATGCCTTAAAGATCATTGCTGGTATTTGCGTTTGAGTTGGAAAAAGGTTCATTACATTCAATATAATTTCTTATATATATTTGAATGTCAAACTTCTATGAAATAATTTTCTAGTTATCTAGTAATCCAGGGGTTCTTGTTTTTTTGTCTGTCATAATTATGTGTTTGTTGTTGTGATATGAAGCAGGCCGTTGATTTTCACTCACATTGAATTTGGTCATCTATGGTCTTTTTACAATTCACATGACAGTAAGGTGATATCAATTCACAATCCGTAATACCAAATTGAAAAAAAAAACCTATTCATGAAATGCTTCTTTAATCTATTTAAGATAATCATTAAGAACAGGAAAAAATAAAGCTTTTCGATGTGCTATCCTTAAAGTTTTATACCATTTACTGTAACGTTTATAAATTTCATTCCGTAACAATATCTTACTAGGTGAAAATGGTACGGTGATTTACCTTTTAACTTTTGATCTTTTACAAGCTCTTCTGTAAAGAATACCGTTAAGACCGCGAGCCTACACGAATAATGAGAGAGGCGAAAGATACCAAAGGGACATTCAAACTCATAATTCGAAAATAAAATGACAACGCCATGGCTGAAAAAGAAAAAAACCAACAAACAAACAACAGTGCAAAAACACAACATATAAAACCGAAGACTGAGCAACACGAAACCCATCAAAAACCGGGTGTAATCTCAGGTTCTGGAAGGGTAAGCAGATCCTGCTCCACATGTGGCATTCGTCGTGTTGATCATGTTAGTACAAACCCGGTGAAATGTCTAATTCGGTAGGTCACATTCGGGGAAAAGGGGACGGGATTATAGTTACGATAATTGGAACATATCCTTTGTCATCTGTGAAACAGATATTCCATAACGGTCAACCAACTCGTGAAGGCGTCCGTTACATTAACAAAAGAATGATTTCAACTTCAACACTTGGAACTCTTGGTTTAATTGCTTCCTTGTGAGTAGCAACCCTTTGTCAAGAAAATCATGATAGGAAACACAAGCCCTGGAATATTGTATCAACTGGGAAATATATACTCCGTATGCAGGCACTGCTGGAATGTTGCTACGTAGAATTTGAAAGTTCACAATTGGGAAGCTGAAATCATCTCTTTTGTCGTAAAGTTTTGTTTTCAACCGACCCTCGTTGTTAATTTCTAGATGTAAGTCAAGATATGAGGCAGATTTAACTATATCTGTTGTATATTTTATGCATTCAACATAGTCACCAAAATTTGAATTATTTAGTGATGAAATCATACTACAAGTGTAAGCAAATGTAAATTGTCGTTCCATATACATTTGTACATGTGATACAGGAATAAGACAATTGGATCATAATGATCTTAAAACCGGAACATATTTTATTAGGCGTAACATCTTTTCATGAAGCATATAGCCTTCCTTAATAATATCATATATGAGTTCACAAAAAAACATTGGGTAGTAAATATTTTTATTATACTTCATGTCAAAATGCCAGATTTTGATTGGGAAATACGAGGGAGACAATTTACTCTATCCCATGGCAAATACTCTATTACCCTTCACGGAGACGCTTGCTCAAGTGTGCGCTTTAATAAATACGGATGATTGTTATGTACAAGACGACATAGTTTATTACTTTGAATTTGAAATTTAATAGACAGTAACAGAACATTCAGTATAATAAATTAAAAAACACATATCTGAGAGTGATATAGCAGATTGTTACCCCTCGAAAAGACATTGTCAACCTTGGCTTCGCCTCAGTTGACAATGTTTTCTCGGGGTATCAATCTGCTCTATCACCCTCTCAGCTATGTGTTATTTATATATTATTATACTTCACATTAAAATGCCATATTTTGATTGGCTAATACGAGGGTGTTAATATACTCTATCACATGGCTGAGCGGGTGACAATTTTTATTGTCACCCTCTCGTCCAGACCAAACAAAAATCGATAATTTAAAGGACAATGAATTGAATTTACATCAAGTAATTAAATACAATGCTTAAGTTCTACGTTTTGGCTCAGATTTTATTATATGACTGTCAAAGTAAAAAAATTAAACATCTTGCCTCTTTTTTGTTGTTTTTTTCTAATACCCGTAACGTTGTTATGTACGTGACGTCATAGAAAATACTTTTAAAATAAAATTAATCTGGCAGATTGGTACCCCTCGAAAAAGCATTGTCAACCTTGGCTTCGCCGCGGATGACAATGTTTTCTCGGGGTAACAATCTGCTCTATCACCCTCTCAGCTATGTATTATTTATAAAGTGTTTAGTAAAATTAATTACTGTTCTCAAATGTAAACAAATGAATTAATACTGAGATCAAATGACTACTAAAGAAATATTTTCATGCATTGTTCTTTTGTTATTGAAGACAACTAACAATGCTTTGTTTCTAATTAATTGGACAAAAAGATAGACACCTTTTTTTAAAGAATAACAGCTAAACAATCAACTGTATCGGAGATATGAACTGATTACATGTGTACAAAGTCAATCTGTAATTTAACCGAGTGTGTCCTATTCTCGATTGTTTCATGTTGACTGAGTGTGGACTCGTATGGCATCTGATGCATGCATAGTTGGAGACTTATACCCTGTCAACGCACCCGATCTCGCTTCTTTTAGAGTTCTTTCAGTTTGTAATTGTTTCTTTGATTTTGTGTTGTTAATCGATTTATGAGATTTGAACATCGGTAATCTACTATTGCCTTAATCTAATTTATTTTTTTCAAATGTTTATGATGCAACAATATGTCACATTTGTTATGGAATGTGTTCATTATACTTATTACCAATGATAATGAATGCTTATGAGCAATGCTTACGAATGAAAGCGTATTGTGTTATGTTAAAGTAATATCTTCCTAAATATAAAAAAGGATGCATTTTTATAGCTGATTTTCTTAAACAACAATCAGACATGACGTTTATAATAGACATATGTAAAATATCTTAGGCATATCCAAAACAATTTGCTGAGAGAGATTAAGGATAGAACCTTTACTTGCCTGACATCGCTTCTATCACTGTGAGTATATCATGTATATATAACATTAAATCAAGAAACAAATTATAGCTCCACTTTACTATTGAATATATAATAAATAAAAAAATTAAGAGATATGGTATGATTGCCAATGAGACAACTATCCAACAAAGTTCAAATGAAGTGGATGTAAGTATTTATAGGAAACCATAAGGCCTTCAATAATGAGAAAAACTCATACAGTATAGTCGGCTATTAAAGGGCCGACATGAAAAATATAAACCAATTCAATTGAGAAAACTAACGGCTTAATTTATAACAAAACAATTTACGAAAAACATATATGACAGATATGAATCAACGACAACTACTGAAATACAGGCCCCTGGCTAGAGACAGGCACATAAAGATGTGGCGGGGTTGAACATGTTTGTGAGCGCTCAACCGTTCCCCATACTGAGACAGTTATGTCTATTGAAAACTGCAGGTATACGTAATCTATAGACAATTTCTTACAATAAAAGCATCATAAATACCAGGATGTAAATGTTTTACGCCAGATGCGCGTTTCATTTACTAAAGTTTCACCAGTGACGCTTGAATCAAAAAGCTAACAAGGCCAAACTAAGAACCAAGTTGAAGAGCATTGAAGGCCAAAGATTCCGAAACCTCTTGCCAAATACATAAAACGAAATCTACTCTTTAGGTAGAAAATTCTTAGAATTTCGAAAAATTCTAAGTTTTGTAAACAGTTAATTCATAATTATGACCGTACCATACTAGTGATAACTTATGTCAACAAAGAGGTCCAAACTGTTCGGCTGGTGATACCATCGGTAGTCACATTGAAATAGACTCATTTAAACACCAGGATTACAATTTTTTACGCCAGATGCCATTTCATTTACCAAAACTCATCAGTGACGATCGAATAAAAAAAGTTTAAAAGCCATAATAAAGTAAGAAGTTGAAGAGAATTGAGGAACCAAAGGTTTTGCCATTTACAATACGACGCATTTGTTAAGGAATGCTCCAATTATACTTAAAACGAATTAAGGCGTACTGTTTTATTTTTTTTACATTGACTTGCATACACTGAAATAATTTTGTATCTTCGTTTGAGATATTTAACTTTTCTTCTAAAATGTTAATATAGTGAGATGCATATAACTTCTATCTGTAAAATATTTTTATATTGTCATAAGGGGTGAAAATGTACAATGGAAGATATTTTGAATTGATTGGTTTTTTTAATAAATCATAACCTTTATATAACACATTCGACTTTGTCTATATAATAACCTGCAAATAATCGAGAATTTTTGTCCAGCATGCTTAAACTAATTTGGCTTTAATCAAAATTTTAGTTTGACTAACATAACATTTGAAAAATCACGTAAGTTATTTGCAAAACATAATCCCCGTTGGAAAACATGATTGTCCACGCTAACTTAAACAGGACTTACCTCAGTTCGCGAGGATATCGTCACCTCAGTAGTCAGTACTTCGGCACAGAAATGAATTTAAGAAACCTTTCTTATATTGTTCGTTTCGAAATATAGAAATTAATGAAAAACTAAAGTTTTCTCCTCCTTAGGCAAAGTTGACCCTAGATGAGTTTGATTATTATATTTTGGTCCTTTCTGGTCATATAGCTCTTCAACTATTTCAGTTCTTAGATATCCTCGGCTTTCAAATATTTGGCTTTAAGCGATCCTGATGTAGGTAAATCCAGAAAAAAAATTTGGACCCATGAAATTTATTAAGTCTTGTTTTCATTTTTAACAGGACTGAGTCGATACCGCTGTTGGTGGACTATCAGTACCCTGGGGGTATAATCAGCTCATAAAGTCATTACTTCGGTACTGACATGATTTGTAACAAAACTTTCGTAAATTGTCCATTTAGAAATATAGAATTTTAAAAAAATCTAAGGTTTCAAATTCCTCAGGCAAATTAAAGTTGACCCTAGATGGATTTCTCTATCATTTGGGTCATTTTTGGTCATGTAGCTCTAAAACAGTTTCGGTTGTTTTACATCCTTGGCTTTTAAATATTCGGCTTTGAGCGTTCCTGAAGAAGGATAATTCAGAAAAGCGCTTCGGACGCATGACCCTTATTAAGTATGTTTTCATTGTTCAGGAAGATAACAGCTGACATGTTATTTGTAATTCTTTATAAACAAAATACATGTATATCTGTAAATGTAAAACTGTAAATGTAAAACTTTAAATGCAGCGATATAGTATCCATGTTTTTTGTATCTCAGTTTTTGTTATTGTTTGAGTATTTCTTTTTTCGGGTGGGTGTTTTTCATTTTCCTGTACACCAAATCTATATCTATCATTTTGTAGATTCTAAAGGATCTCTTATCGAACTTTTGGCAAAACTGTCACATATTGATGATACATATATTAATCAAACATTGAGGTCTACAGCTGGCATGCCAGTAACTGTTTGTTAATTTAAGTTGATCATGGTCATTTTGCTTAGTTTCTTCTGTCATCTATTCTAACATCGGACACGGACTTCTTTTAAACTGAGTTTTACGGTGCGTTTAACTATGTGTTTGTTTATTCCACATTGACTAGAGGGAAAATGGAGGGTTGAGATCTCACAAAACATGTTTAACCTCGCAACATTTATGCGCATGTCCCAAGTCAGGAAACTCTTGCCTCTGTTAGTCTTTTGTGTTTTTCAATTTTGGTTCATTTATATGCTTCGGAGTTAAATGTGGCGTCCATTTCGCTGAACTACTATACATTATTGTTAAGGGGCCAGCTGAGGCCCACCTCCGGGTGCGGGATTTGCTTGCTGAGTCAAAGACCAATTGGTGGCCTTGGGCTGTTTTCTGCTCTTTGGTCGAGTTGTTGTCTCTTTGGTTGTCTCTTTGACACATTTTTCGTTTCCTTTCTCACGTATTAACGTATGAAACATTTTGTATATTTTAGATACATATCTTACAACAAAATATCAGAGCTTGAAACTGGAACATTTATCAATCTTGCAGGACTTCGTTACCTGTACGTAAGTTCATGGTCAAAATGAAAACAATGCTACATCTAACCACATATTATCAACTGAAGGATGTTGTTATATCTGTTTTATAAAAAGTTTTTCCAAATTATGTTTCATGTAATACATGTAATATACATTTGCTATCAACACATAAAAAATATTTCAATTCTCAATAAAATGATAGTCTTCATATTTGTGATATCTACTGAAAGCGTGAAAGTACAGCCTATGATCATGGATAGTTTCCCTCAATATTTTCAACTATATAATATTAACATTGCCTTTTGTTCGATTTACCATTCTCAACTACAGAGCAAACCGTAATTCTTGACATCATATATTCGTAGATAATACATATTTAAGTTTTCATGTTTATTGTTGTATCAATTATATATACTCGTCGCCGTTATGCTGGCTTCTGGTATTGATCTTACTAATTTGGGTAGAGGACTAGGTAGACATATGACCTGTTCCGATCCATGTCATTACTGAACAATGTGAGCATGATTTTAGAGCTCACATTCTTTATGTTGCTGTTCAAAGACGTGGCACTAGTTGGTTGCTGTTTGGCAAAATTATGTTTCAATTGTTGTGGTATGACGCAGGACGATGATTTTTACTCACATTGAATTTTGTCATCCCGGGCCTTTTTATAGCTTACATGACCGTACAGCGATAACATTAATTCATATATTTTTCCTTTCGTCCGAAATGGACAGATTTCTCCAAAATCAGCGGATTGGTAAATGTATCTTGTCTAACCGACCTTTCCGAACTTGCTATAAACATTGGAATATATGGTAAGACTCTAGCCTAAATACTTGAACGAACATTTAAGTTTAAAACAGAAACATATTTCATTGACAAAGGATATACAAGATCGTCTACGACGTTTAACAGACATTGAGATATAATAGAGCACAAAATCAACACAAAACTACAGCAAAAGAAACAAAAAGCTTAGCATGTAAATTGACCATTATGTTATATACATTGCATGTATAACATTAGATTAACAAATATATTATACAAGACATTTCCAGATCTACAATACAAAAAACCACTTCTCAACTAAATTCTTAGCTGATAGTAAACTTGTAGTAGCTCACAATGTAGTGTCGTGGTCAATTTCTCAGGGACATTAAGATTGTATTTCACTGTTATGTTTTTTGATACATTGTTTTTCACTTTATTGTTTTAACGTATTGGTCAATGAATGAGCTTGCAATTTAAAACACTTCTCATATAGTTTAGATTTACTACAATTCATAAAGGATTAAATAAATATTCTCGTGGCCATGGAAACCCCTCATCCGGTACAAGACATGCATTGTTATGTAGTTAATCTTTTAACTTGCATAGAACATAAATAAAGTTCATTGGATTTTCAATATGTAGTAAACTTTACTTAATCTTGTTTACCTAAATATCAATGTGCCGTAGTAAGTTGTAAAAAAGTTCTTTTTTTATTTCAAATTTTCTACTGGTTTATGAAATGAATGAATTTGTAGTAAGTAATGCTCCAATGTTTGCATGACATATCATTGATACGGCAATATTCTCTTTATTTACCAAATATAATCCTTATGATAAAATAAAAGTCTACCTTATGTGGAACAACTTGTTCCTGACAATTATGGGTTTCCTTTTTCTTAAATACGTGTTTTTGATTTGGTATTTAAACTGTTTGAGCGTCGATGGTCAATATTCAGTACACAAAATGCACGTCTGCTGTAGTAACCAATAAGTCTGGTTCGTTGGTGTTTTTTACTAACAAACGCCCTAACTTTGATATCTCTATTACCTCCATATATGTATATAATAGTCTCCAAACGGAAAATCGATCTTCACACAAACGCCATCGGGCATTAGAAGAGGGCGATATAACGGTTATAGATTTAATAGACAGATATATATATTATATAAATAAATGAAATAGAGAAAGAGAAATTATTTACGTAGGAAGGTGTCGGTCGGTCGATCGATCAATCGATAGATTGATATATATCAAGAGAGAGATTGGTAGAGTGTGAGTTGTATATACGAAAACTAAACGTGCATTAAAAACACATATGACAAATCGCAGAAAGACGTTACTTGTTCAGTTGCATAAAAGGAACTGTATAGTAGCAGTTTTATTAAATGATATACAATTTTCAAATTACAATTACCATAATTAAAGGTGATGTTTAGGCGACATGGTAGGTTGACTATTCATGATGAAATAACTGTATGTCATTTATTTATATCTGTAGAGTTTTGGAACACAATATATTGACAGATATAAGAAATGGAACGTTGGTAGGATTGACTGGAAACCTTCATACTTTGTGAGTATAATTAATCCTGGTTTTTTTCTGATGCTTCTGACATAAATTCACTGACGATGCGAACTTAATCTGCCATAAATGTGGTGAGCTGGCTTACTGTTCATCAACACGAAATAACAAAGTGAGTTGTAGTTGGGCCAGTTGAATCGTCTACCGATTATTGAAACGAGTTACAGTTTTGTCGTCAGTTGCATGAAACATAAAAATGATATGCGATTTGTGTTCTCCTAGTAATTGCATATGTTGTTTGTTTAGAATAACAAGATGAGCTTGAGTTATACATTATATGTGCTGACGTTGTGTAGCAATTTTTCAACTTTTGCTGTTTTCCCTTTATTTTCCTTGGTACTATTATGTCTCTTTTGGTCGAATAACTCTCGCTGTGCATCCAGCTTTTAAGGTTTTGCCAAAGGTCGTTACGGATGCGGATGGGTCATAAGGGAAGCTTCGGATACATATAATTTTAATAATGTTATTTTCAGTTTATGTACCCTTTTATTTATGCTTAAATAAATCGAATGTGATTAAGATTTTCACATCAAGTTACTTATAACAACTCCTCAAAGAAAATAAAACGTTGGGTGTATTTAGGAACCTGTTTGTCTGTCCGTCAGTGTGGACCAACTTCTTTGTCCTTCGTCTGACTCGCTTCAAATTTTGTAGAAACAATGATCATGTTTTCTAAAACGTAAAGTACTTTCAACTTAGAAATGTTAGCCCTTTCGAACACCCATTTCTTTATACTTTGTTTATTTTACTTCAAACTTTTTGTATCATTGAAAATGAAATCCGAATTATGACATATTTTACCCTTTTTAGGACCAAAATTGTCATCGCATATCATTTTCATTGTTTATAGGATCTACTTAAAACTTAGTACTCTGTAAGATCCTGATATGAAGTTGTGAATGACGATATGATATTCCTGTTCATTGGATTTTATTTAGAGTTATGTCCTTCAACTTTAGATTTTTACTCTGTCCAGTACCAACCTTGTATTCGCACCGTAAATTAATGGGAATATTGTTCGATCTTAATTTACAGATGTGCATGTAGGTATGATGTTCCAGTTTTTCAAGAGACGTGTTTATTGAGCTTAGAAAGTTTTGGCTTATTCAAGCACCTATCTTGTCATCGCAATAGAACCTTCATGGTTAATCGTATCTACACAGAGTTGATACATTGTACGATCGTTATATGCAGATGTGCAACGATCCTTATATGCAGATGTGCATGTAATTAGAAAATTCATGTCGATTGAATTATTCGAGAGAAATGCCCGATTAAATGTAAATGTATGCACTGTTCAGTTCTAATATTGTCATTGCAACTCATCAAAGATGCTCCATTATAGCTATATGAAACTTAGTATATGGTAGGATTTAGATATACTAATACATTTAGTAGGATGTAAATGCATCAGATAACATCAAATGAAACACTATTCAAATTTTGAATAAAAAGTGGGAAAAAATAAGTTAAAAATAAAGGTATACTTTAAAGACTCCCAAAGAAATTGAACCGACATCAAAAGCAAAACGATGTATAGGCTAAGAGGTCAACATTGGGTCTTTAACAACAGATAAGTACCAAGCTCTAAATACCCTTTTGTGAATAATATAAAATTTATTAGTTAATAACCGAACCTTTTCCCACCAATTATATGGTCGTTGTCCCTTCTGCTTAGAAACAACATGTTTTTAAACTAAATTTCATCTAATTTTGTTTACTGTTGCACTAAAAGTACCGGTCTTAAGTCTTGTAAAATCGAAAAAAACGACAGGACTAACGCAAAAGACATAACAAGAGGAATATTTAGTTTTACTTTTATAATTATAAAATATCACTGAGGGTTACTGAGATCAAAAGTTTAATGGTTCTCTTGTTTCAAAATCATTTTATTTACAGGTGACTATGCGTCAGGTAGGAACATATTTCCTGAATGTTTTTGTTGTTGTTGTAGATCACTAAGATACAACGAACTGTCACACATAGAAGATGGGGCGTTTCTTAAACTTTCAGGACTTCGTTCCTTGTACGTGAGTTTGTTTATCAAATACCAACAAAATTTCTATAATGAATAACTTAACAGTTTCACTCAGTTTGCCTTTGCCTAAAATAATTGTTAGTTTAGATTGCATTTGTTAGGAAGTTTTATCATGATTATAAAATAATCTTTTCTATTTGCCATGCGTGTATATTATGTGTAGTATTATATAATGATGTATTTATTTTGAGTCTTAATTCGGAACTGCTTCCGTTAAAAAGTTGTGATGTAAATTAAATCAAAGATTCGTATACATCATATATTCCCCAGCTTTGAGAGTTGTGGTTACTCATAGTTAATAATTTTCTGTAAGGTTTAAGTCAATTAAACAAGGAATTTTTCGTGAGTAGCAACCATTTAATGTATGGTCCTTCCAAATAATCTTTCGTTCAGATAATTCTGAATCGTTTAGAGTAAATTCATGTATAGAAAATGTTAGGCATTTGAAATAAATGTAAGTCTAAAAATATGTTTTTGAATAGTTCTAAATAATAGTACATTTACATTTTAATCATATCCCGTTCCCTTTAAGCTACACTTTTTGTTATGAATTTGTGATTTAATGCAATTATCTGGACTGTCTGTCTGTTCGTCCGTTCGTCCAGTAGAATATCATCAGCTCAGTAGTCAGTACTTCGGTATTGAAATGATTTATAAACAAATCTTTCTAAAATTGTCCGTTAATAAATTTTGAAATTATAAATAACTAAAGTTTCAACTCCCTCAGGCAAAGTTGACCTTGATGGATTTGGCAATTTGTTTAGGTCCTTTTTGTCATATAGCTCACATGACGTTTAGTCTAGGTTCTTTTACATCCTTGGCTTTCAAATATTCGGCTTATAGCGTTCCTGTTGAAGGTAAATTAAGAAAAGTGCTTCGGATGCATACAAAATATAACGTGTTGTCAGTTTGTTTTCTACTTATGAGTATGAATTTCCCTTTGGTATCTTTCGCATCTTTTTAACAAAAGTGTTTTAAAAAATGCCAATCAGAATATACCAATCTCTTATATGTATTTGGTGATGAAACAATGCACTATCAAGAATGAATTACATGGTCATCAACCAAAACAAAGAACATTTGTGAAATGTTATGGTTATGTAGAAAAGGGATACAGCGGCAAACTTGTTTTGATATCAAAACTGAACAAACGGGTAAACATGCTTCTATTGCAAAATATTGTAATAGTTGGTTTAAATGTTTGACATGAAGTTAATGAAAAATATAATATAGGAGTGGAGGAAGAGACCAAAGGGATATTCAAACTCATAAGTCAAAGACAAACTAACAACCTCATGACATTAAACGACAATCGATGAAAAGAAAAGCCAACAGCCTACAAAACACAGCATAAACAGTTAACGACTGAGCAACACGAACGCCACAAAATACTGGGTTGATCTCACATACTCCGGAGGGGTTAGCAGATTATCCTGTATATGTAGCACCCATCATATGCAAATGCGGTGATAAGTCTAATTCGTTGATGTCACATTCGAGGAGAACAGGATGGGATTGTTTCGACAATTGGAACATATATGTCGTCATCTGTGTAACAGATATTCCATAAAAGTCATCCAGCTTGTGATTGTGTTTTTTGTTGTCATTTCAGTTGTAATAGCTAAAAAGCTTTTTATTTTTAAATGCGAACCCTAAACCTCCAAACCTTTAGTTGTCAGTTGTGTTGTATATCTATGAAATGTGTTCACACAATTTTGGCTGCTGGATCTAAATTAATGTCAATTACATCTGTTTTGGTTGCTCAAACAATTTTGCCAATTTTACAGAACTGTTAACTATGAGAGGTTTAGAAAACTATAAATCCAGGTTAATCCCACAGTTTTCTTCCGAAAATGTCTGTACCAAGCATGGAATGTTTTTTTGTCAGGTTTTCCCCTTTTTTCCCCTTTTTTAAATTTTAACTTGGACTTTGGTATTTTTGTAAATTACTGTTTTTTCCATAGCTAAAATTTATGTTTAGATCAATGAAATACCCGCTATGAGTTTTAATTGTAAGGATTTTTGTTATAATATCATTTAAACAGTTACATCAAACAGAGTACACTAAATGACAACTGGAGAATTTTTTATATACGAGTATATAACTTTCTGACTTAAAAGAAAAGCCATTGTAGCAGAAGATTCAATGTTATGGAGTTTTCATATTAAAATCAACCGTATAGAATTGAAGACGAAAGTCTATGTTTTTAATTTTTGGTTTTTTTGTCATGTTTTATTATCGGTAGTCATTATTTAATCTATAGATATTTAGAACACAATTCATTGACAGAGATAACCAATAACATATTGGCAGGATTGACAGGAAATCTTTATTATTTGTGAGTATAGTTAATCTTAGTTTTTTATCCTGATATTTTTAATACGAATATACTCGGCCGACTGCTTGGACTACAATACCACTTGCTGAGTTGCCGTGCGTTCACAAATCACAATTTGCTATAGAAAATGTGATCAGATCTAACATATCAGGGATAAATTGCAGACGAAGTATATATCATTTGTGGTATTATTTGTGGTGTTGATATATAAATAAGGACATGTGGCATCATTACCAATAGTGCAACTATTGTACAAATAACTTGGATGAAAGCAACTATGAGTCACCGTATGGCCTTCAACAATGAGCAACACATATACCGTAAAGTCAGCTTAAAAAGCCCCGACATAATGAAATGTGCACCAATTCAAACGAAAACGAAAAGCACTGAAATCCAGACTCCTAACTTTGAACAGGTACATAAAAGATGTACCCTGTTTAACTGTAGGTTATCTGTTGGAGAATGTATATCTTCGAGTTGTCACATATTTTCTTAATCGGAACAATCGACCACTGACAGTAATAGGTCTGATTCAAAATAGGTTGTTGTATAGTTTCAATCTATATGGCAGGCAACTCAGTTAAAAATTATAAATCTCTAAGAATTGGATTATTGATATAGACATTTTTTTTTAAATAAGAAATAGTAAAACCGACACTAACGAAGTTCACGTATCTCATTAGAGAGTTCTTATGTATGCTTAATATATTTCAGGTACTTAAGTAATAATTTATTGACATACATAGCAAATGGGACGCTTGATCATCTAACTGGACTTCAATATTTGTAAGTATATATATTTTATGATGCTATTTTAAGAGCCGAGTAAAAAAAACAAAAACAACATTTTATAAATGCTATGCGTCCGTTTACCTGGATTTACCTTCATCATGAACGCTCAAAGCCGAATATTTGAAACCCAAGGATGTACAAGAACTGGAACAGTTGAAGAGCTATATGACCAAACAGTACCTATAAAAAATTATATAAGGAAGTAAGCTTTAGCATGTCCTTTAGTATAAGAAAGGATAATTTTAAAGGGTTGCCGTTTGATGTCTCCTCAAGTTCACAAAATGTACATGAAATATAAAAAACAAAATCTCATATATTGCAATTAATGAAAATTAGATTATTATTATATTGCGTTGAATTATTTCCTTGTCATTATTCTTTAATACACCTAGCGCATCGACGAATTTAACTTGTAACAACCAAACGATCGAGTCCTCGATTTGGAAAGGAACTGCTTACGGTTGAGATGAAATTGAGTTCACGACGTTTTTGCTATGTAGGATTATCTTCGCCCAATCTTAATTATTCCATGTAATCTTGTGCGGACACATTTGTTTCCTTTTGGCCCTTTTGCTTTCGACCAGAATATTGTTACATCAACTGATTTATTCGGATTGCCCACATGGTATTTTCCGATTATGTTTCTTTTAATGCACAAGCCAAGCCCTGAACAAAAATTCGACAAATGGTTATTTGCCTAGTTTTGGAAAGTATAAAACTTGATGATATATTGTCCGACTACGATACAAGTATGTGTTATTACATTATTGAATTGTGCTAGATTAAACACTGTTCTAAATACTTATAATTTATACTTTAGGTTAATAGTTTCAATAAATCAATATCTTGTTTTACTTGTAAATAGTTGGTCAGTGCTTTACCTCAAAAGCTAACCAAAACTTTAAACAGACTTATTCGGACGGGATATAGTTACGATACTGTTGTCAGGTCATTAAGGATTGCATATTTTGGTATTAATATTGATTCACTCATAGGGTCTTTGCATCGGAAATAAACACATAAATTCTAAAACCAGTTGTTGGCATGATACGGGTTATGTTCTTCTCATATATTTTATGATGGTATGATACTAAACCCCTAACGGGAGGGATTGTACCTGATTTTCATATGATGAAGACATAATCTTTCAATCAGTTTAATTGAGGTCTGGAGCTGGCGTGTCAGTAACTGCTAGTAGTCCTTTGTTAATTTATATATCATTGTCATTTTGCTTAGTTTCTTTTGTTACCTATTCTGACATCGGACTCGGACTTCTTTTAAGCTGAGTTTTACTGTGCGTATTGCTATGTGTTTCTTTATTCTACATTGGCTAGAGGTATAGGGGAGGGTTGAGATCTCACAAAACATGTATAACCCCGTCGCAAATTTGCGCCTGTCCCAAGTAAGGAGCCTCTGGCCTTTGTAAGTCTTCTATGTTTTTTTAATTGTAGTTCCTTTATATGTTTTGGAGTTTAGTGTGACGTCCATTTTCACTAAACCAGTACACAATTTTATTTAGGGGCCAGCTGAGGATTACCTCCGGGTGCGGGATTTTCTCGCTGCGTTGAAGACCCATTGGTGGCCTTCGGCTGTTATCTGCTCTTTGGTCGGGTTGTTGTCTCTTTGACATATTTCCCATTTCCATTCTCAATTTTATTTAACCCGACAGAAAACTAATGTTGTACATGTAAGCTACTAGATGTTATTGTAAACTTAGTTTGAATCATTTTGCTACTTTAAACGGAAGGTTGTTAATTATTTATTTCATGCTGGTGATTTTTATTTTGTTCATTTTGATATGTTTTAGATAGTCTAGATTCTTTCTAAATAATAACATTAACAGTACCATTTTAATTGCACCAGATGCGCATTTTGACAAAATGTATGAAAAACCAAAATTTAAACAAACGTTGACGAGCTGATCAACCAAACAAATTTAACGTTCAAACAAAACAACATATCCTCAAATGACATCCAAAGTTAAATATACATAGCTGTACCGATAACTATACCTTTTTATTGCTAAACAAAACGTTTTTAAACAAAAAAAATAAGAAAAAGGAAAAAAATTACTTTTGTTTCGACAACCTCTCATGTAACTTCCAAATTCCGCCTAAAACCATTTAAGCAGTAGCCTCTGAAAGACTAATGGACAACTCCGTATAGAAAATTCTATATTATATATCAGTCATAACTAACACTTTAGTAAAGAAGAAGGTGTGATGAAAGCCAAAGACCCCTTAAAATAACGAACCCTTCCAGATGCTTTCGAAGAGTTCCCGCTTCACTAGTAAAACCAGCCGTATTAAATCAATGAATGTGTATAACTGGTAACGAATATCATAACCGCATGGATGTATTAATTCCAGATCTTTCATTGTTTTTGTTTTAATTTTTTGACAAATTTTGATGGACTTGGGACGATTTAGACCAAGAAATATTGTATAGAAACCTGTATATTGTTGAAAATTGACTGTTGCTTTCTAGAGGTCTTTTTGGTTATTTTATCGTTCGATTGCTGTCTTATGAGACATAAAGCTACATCTCTGTTTAGTCTTAGACACATCATATCCTCGTATATCATTAAAAAAAACACCAGATATATCCAATTCTAGTATGTTGCCTTCGTCTATTTGGTTCTCCTATGCTAGTATTGGAAGAATATGGAAATATATAGCTTCCGTAATGTATATGACTTTGTAAAATAAATAAATGCACGATTTGCCTTGGCGTGTTGTTACTGCACGACCAAGTATTGCATATGCCAAATCAAATCTATCTTCACAATAATAATAATATTAAATATCTGTTTCATAGATGTCAACAGATGTGTTCCAAGTGTCGTATCCACTGTCCCGTCCTTTTTAGCTCACCGTGCCCGAAGGACCCCAAGTGAGCTTATGCCATAACTCCTCTGAAACTACTATGCCAAATACCTTCAAACTTTAACTGAATGTTCCTTAGAGTAACTTGTTTATAATTTGTATCCGAAGTTTTGATTCATCAACAAACATGGCTGCCATGGCTAAAAATAGAACATAAGGGTCAAATGCAGTTTTTGGCTTATATCTCAAAAACTAAAGCATTTAGAGCAAGTCTGACATAACTAAAAATGTTCAATTGGTCTAGAACTATCAGTCCTGAAATTTTTAGACGAATCCAACAACCCATTGTTGGGTTGCTGCCACCTAATTGGTAATTTTAAGGAAATTTTGCAGTTTTTGATTATTATCTTGAATATTATTAAAGATAAAAATAAACTGTAAACAGCAAAAATGTTCAGCAAAGTAAGATCTACAAAAAAGTTAAATGACCAAAATTTTCAATTGACCCCTTAAGGAGTTATTGCCCTTTAAAGACAATTTTACACAATTTGTTCATCGTGTTTGCTAACATTTAAAAATCTTCTTCTCTTAAACTACTGGGCCAAATACTTCCAAACTTCAACTGTATGTTCCTTACTGTATCTAGTTTGTAAATGGTATCCTTAGTTTTGATTCATCAACAAACATGGCCGCCATGGCTAAAAATAGAACATAGGGGACAAAAGCAGTTTTTGGCTTATATCTCAAAAACTACAGCAGTTAGAGCAAAAGTGAAAGGGGTTAAAGTGATAAATGGGTCATGATCTATCTGTTTTGAAATTTTCAGACAAGTTCGACAATCCATTGCTGAGTTATTGTTGGAAATAGTTTATTTTTATTAAATTTTACTGTTTTTTGTTATTTTCTTTAATATTATAATAGATAGAGAGAAAGTATAAATGGCAATAAATGTTCAGCTAAGTAAGATCTACAAATAAGTCAAATGATCAAAATAGTCAATTTACCCCTTAAGGAGTTATTGCCCTTAAAAAGTTTTTTTTACATTTTTTGTGAAAGTCTTATTACTTTTTAAAAAATCTTCTTCTCTGAAAATTACTTGGCCAAATACTTAAAAACTTTAATTGAATGTTCATTAGGGTATCTAGTTTATAGATTGTATTCGGGGATTTGATCCATTCAAAAACATGGCGGCAGTTTCTAAAAGTTCAAAAACTAAAGCAGTAAGAGCAAAACTGATATAGGTGAATGTGTTAAACAGGTTTAGATCTACCTGTCAAGTAATCTTCAGACCAATAGGACAACTTATTGTTGGGTTACTGTCCAGAAATAGTTAATTTTTTGGATATTTTACAGTTTTTGGTTATGTATTATCTTTATTATTATTATAGAAAGAGAAAAAGTGTAACTGACAAAATTGTTCAGCAAAGTAAGATCTACAAATAAGTCAAATGCCTGAAACCGAAATTACAGGTACATACCTGCCAACTGTCACTATTTGTGGGGGGTTTCCCAAATGGAGGCTCCCAATTGGAAATTTTAAAAGAGCAATTTTGTCCACAATTCAAAACAAAACAATCAATTTTACCATGGGTATATGATTGTAAAAGTATGAAGAAGCAAATAAACATCATTAAGATAAATTTGAAGGCCCCTTTAAAGGTTTTGTGGGACAATGAGAGCCATCATGCAAGCTAAATCCCCATCGGCATTTTGAACTTTTGGCAGGTATGCAGGTGAGCGATAACAGGCTCTCATGAGCCTCTTGTAGCCTCGAATGTGACCTACCGATTAGACTTATCACCGGATATGTATTTACATGAGCAACAAGACAGATGCTACATGTGTAGCAGGATCTGCTTACCCTTCCGGAGCACCTGCGATCACCCATGGTTTTTCGTTGTCTTCATGTTGCTTAGTCTTTAATTTTATATGTTGTGTTTGTGTATTGTTCTCTGTCTTTTCGTCGTTTTTCGTTTTTTCGACGTACATAAAAAATGTACCAGTTTGAATGTCGTTTAAGTACCTTTCGCCTCTCTTTTCCTTTAGAAAAATCATTATTTCCAGTAATTGGTAATTGATCAATTGTTTCGGTTGTAAAGTTTTCCACTGAAAGATTGTAATGTAAAGATTGTAATGTAACAGTAGTCATGTCAACTTTTAAGCTAAGACACTCTGAGAAAGCATGGTCTTTTAATTGTTGAAGCTGCATTAAACATTTTGATTTTAATTTAGGTACAAACAAACAATGAATGACAAGCAAAATGCCATATGTGGCACCTAGAATTTATATGTTTTGAAACTGATGCAATTAAACATTTTCCTTTATTTCTGTTTGGCCTGTCAGACAGAATGAATCAATGTTGTAGAATTATCATTATTATTTAAGAAAAATATTGTCGGTTCAGTTTAGTAATTTGATAGAATATTCCTCTTTGTCTTTCCGTCAAAATGCTTAGTCTATTCAAGTTTTGAGGGAAGGATAACTCTTTAACTTTCCTTTCAAAATGTTTGGATCATGATGAACATGATGATTTCTAATCGTTGAATCCCTAATGTGTGTAAGTGTACCATCTCACTGTCGATCAGTCTTCCAATATATCCGTCGTTAAATGTTTTATAGGTTGCGCAAACTGAGTAAATGAGAGTCAACCATTTGCAATTCAAATTCAAGCACCAAACCTTAACAAATTACTTTTAAATTCCATATTGAGTCGAAAAAATCATGTGATCATGACCCTAGATTTTGAATGAGTGAAGTTGAATATTTGCAAAAACAACAATTAAAATTCATAAAAAACGAATACCAGCATGAACTAAAAATCGTTGAATTTCATTTACTGTCTAATATGTCGAACTTTTAAATCAATTTTTATGGAAAACCTAGAATATTTGTTTAAATTACTTACCCCGAACTGAAACGAAAATACTTCGTCTCTCTATAAATATTTTGTTATGTAACGCTATTCGGCTACGGATCGTTACCACAATAACGTCACTAAAACAATTGTCAGTAAGAAAATGATGAACAAACAAAAAATCATTCTATCTTAGAAGCCAATCGAAACAAAGCGACTACAGACAGTGAAAAATATTACTCGCTGAAGGTGTTTATTTTTATATTTATTTTGAAATGTGCACCATTTGCTGTCTAATATGTCAAAACCAAGGACTTTTAACTTAATTTATATTTACAATGTCGTCTAACGTTGTAATCATAACCAGGTATTCATGTAAAAAGATGTATTAATAACATATATATATTGGTAAACAAAGATCATTTTCTTAATTAAAAGATCTCCTTTTTGAAAGATGTTACGATTTCTTATTATTATTTCTGTTATCATCATTGTATATTGTCTATTAATTTCATATATTCTAATTATAGGTATTTAGATGAAAACATGATCTCTGGTGCGTTGTTTATTGAATATCTACCAACGACATTGTACACATTGTAAGTTACATAGCTCCCTTTATATCTCATGTTTAATCACTACATTTTATATATATATTGATCACACGTATCTGAGATTAAATGGTAATAAAGACACATTTGTGCTATAATTGTATACGAGAACATACGGAACAAAAACATAAATTTAAGATCAAGTAGCTAAATAATGCACCAAATATACTAACAAAAGTGATATTATTTCACCAATCATCATGCTGTTGTCAACAATTTTTCGGTAATGTATCAAGTTGTCCTTTTTAAAGATAATTTGACAGCTTTCTTTTGCTGCTTACCGCATAAACATGTATAGATTTATTCCTAAAGATTGCTTGAATTGAAAAAAAAACTTCTACCTTTTTATCCTTTTTAGAAATTAGACTGTATGTATTTTAGTAAAAAAATCATTTTGCTTTTTTCTTCTTCATCACAGACATTAGATTAATACTTGCACTTCTCGGCAAAGAGATTTTGCTCATATTTTTTTTTTATTCATGTCATTCTGTCAAAGGATTACGAGGTTTGTCCATACGAGGTTCATTTCCCAGAATGTTTTTTTAATTTTGCATATAGTGTGCATTTTATCAGGATATGAATGTTCATCTTTAAACAAAAAGACTGGTAGATAAACTTTGTTTTGTTTTGTTTGATTAAGTATTCATAGCGTGCGTACTGTTTGTCCTCTCAACTACATATTAAACATTTTTTACAAGACAGTGTTTTACTTTGCAGATTGTATATGATTAAATAGAAGGCGTGATTTTTCTTTAATATATCGTATTTTTCAGTAGCTTGTTCGCTGGACTATTCAAAAAGCTTTGTATATATAACGAAGTCATTTTGTTTAATTTGTAAAACATTGTTTTTCGAAAGACACGAAAATACACATTACAATAATTCCTTAAGCATACAGTATCATGCAACCCATCCCTTTAAAATGTTTTCACTAGTTTTAAAGGAGTTTTCCTTGATAATGAACACTTCGTCATTAATCTCACGTTGAACGAATCCACAGGTACAGAGAATGACATTAGACAAAATCTGTTCTTTAATACTTTGACAATACGAAAAAAAGCCAGTATTCAATATGTTTTAACTCTCCGCATGGAAATTGAAGACTATGATGAATGCATTACATATATAAATAAAGGCAACAGTAGTATACCGGTGTTCAAACGTCATAAATCGATTGAGAAAAAAAATCCGATTTACAAACTAAAACCGAGGGAAACATAACATAACATAACATTAATGAACAAAACAATTAAACATGAGATTCCGAGATACAATACAAAATGATATTTGGCAACCATATTCCATGTGTTCTCTAGTGGTTGTAAACACCAAGGAATTTGTTTTTGTCCCGGCCGATAAAGCTGCTAATAATATTATTATAGTTTGACGTAAATTTTACATTGAGGTTCTGAAAAAAGAAATCACCAATTCACCAACATTCCAACTGACTCCATTTTCAGAAAACGACATCTGTAACAAACATAAACTTTTAGCTACCGCTTTACAAGCAGAACCAAATATTACAATGAAAGTCCCAACTATGCATTGGCTTCCGAAGCTACACAAAACACCTTACAAATATAGATTTATTTCGTCTTCAAGCCATTGTTCCATTACTAAATTGTCTATTCTTCTTACCAGTACACTTGGTACAATCAAAAACCTGATAATAAATTGTTCAAATAATGCCTTCGAAAATAGTGGAATTAATTACTTTTAGAGTGTCAAGAACTCGTTGGAAGTACTTGATAAATTACATGCATATATTGGTGATTTTGAATCTGTTCAAAGTTTTGATTTTTCTACCCTATATACCACATTGCCTCACACATTCTCATTAAGAAAAAATTCACACACCTAATTAAATGGGCATTTAAAAAGTCAGAATGTGAATATATATGTTCAAACTCTTTTAGGTCATTTTTTAGTAGCAATAAACAAAAAAACTATGTCAATTGGACATGCTTTGATACTATATATGCCCTTGAATTTTTACTAGATAACATTTTTGTTCGCTTTGGAGATTCCGTATATCGTCAGGTTATCGGAATTCCAATGGGGACTAACTGTGCACCACTTATTGCGGACCTTTTTTTGTATTGCTATGAGTTACAATTTATGACAAAAATCAGCAAAGACCCATCGAAACAACATCTGATACACAAATTTAATAATACTTTTAGATATTTGGATGATATTTTGGCTCTCAATAATGACGACTTCAGTATGTATACTAAAGAAATTTATCCTGTTGAACTTACTTTAAATAAAGCTAATACTAACAATGACCACTGCCCTTTCCTCGATCTTGATATCTATATCATTAATGGAAAGCTTAATACTAAAATATATGATAAAAGAGATGATTTTTCATTTCCTATCGTTAATTATCCATTTTGAGATGGTAACGTTCCCTTGTCACCATCTTACGGTGTTTATATATCTCAACTTGTACGATTCGCTCGTGTATGTAACAATGTTTTAGATTTTAACGAGAGAAATTTATGTATTACTGAAAAATTATTACACCAGGGTTTTCGATATCACAAACTAGTCAAAACATTTACTAAATTTTATCATCGGTATAAGGACATCATTCGTAAATATAGCTCAACATGCAGACTTCTTATACGTTCAGGTATTTCACATCCAATTTTTTATGGAAATATTCTTTATAAAGCACAAAAATGTCAGTATTCACCTCTGAAGCTAACAAAACCTTTAAATAGACTTATTAAGAAGGGATATAGTTACGATACTGTTGTCAGGTCATTAAAGATTGCATATTTTGGCGTTAATATTGATTCACTTATAGGATCTTTGCATCGGCACTAAACACAATTATTTAAAAACCAGTTGTTGGCATGACACGGGTTATGTTCTTCTCATATATGTTATGATGGTATGATACTAAACCCCTAACGGGAAGGATTGTGCCTGATATTCATATGATGAAGACATAATCTTTCAATCAGTTTAATTGAAGTCTGGAGCTGGCATGTCAGTTAACTGCTAGTAGTCTGTTGTTATTTATGTATTATTGTCATTTTGTTTATTTTCTTTGGTTACATCTTCTGACATCAGACTCGGACTTCTCTTGAACTGAATTTTAATGTGCGTATTGTTATGCGTTTACTTTTCTACATTTGGCTAGAGGTATAGGGGGAGGGTTGAGATCTCATAAACATGTTTAACCCCGCCACATTTTTGCGCCTGTCCCAAGTCAGGAGCCTCTAGCCTTTGTTAGTCTTGTATTATTTTTAATTTTAGTTTCTTGTGTACAATTTGGAGTTTAGAATGGCGTTCATTATCACTGAACTAGTATATATATTTGTTTAGGGGCCAGCTGAAGGACGCCTCCGGGTGCGGGAATATCTCGCTGCATTGAAGACCTGTTGGTGACCTTCTGCTGTTGTCTGTTCTATGGTCGGGTTGTTGTCTCTTTGACACATTCCCCATTTCCATTCTCAATTTTACGTAATATCCCAAAATTCATTGTGGTTCATTGTGTCTATTGGTCAATTGCTCAGGAGCATATTGACATTTTGTATTTGGAAAATTACTATGCAAAAATATTCTTATGCATGCATCACCCTCCATTCCAATCCACACTCAATCAAAATGTCAAAATCGGGTATAGGTCACAAGTGGTAGAATTACAGATTAGACGGCAATTAAGCATACTTATCTACACATATCAGACCACGAAAATAGATATGTTTACCTTTCCGGAGCTCCTGATATAACCTTCGGTTTTTGGTTGGGTTCGTGTTGCTTAATCGTTAGTTTTCTATGTTGTATTTTGCAGACTGTTGTTTGAGTTTTTGTCGTGTTTTTTTTTTTTTTACTTTTGTGGATTTTTTTACCATGGCATTGTCAGTTTGTCTTCTACTTATGGGTTTGAACATAACTTTGGTATCTTTTGCTTGTCTGTTACTGTTAAATACTAAAGGGAGATTGAGGCTCGTACTAGCGGTGTTGTTAAATATACGATTTTTTTCAATGCTTCTAAGGTTGCGTACAGTTGTAAATTTACATTTATTTCAACCAGATCGTTGAAAAACAATTCTGTCGACGACATAGCGAATGGAACATTCTATGGATTAATTCAGTTACAGAACCTGTAAGTATATATTTATTGTAACAAAGTTCAAAAAGGCTAATTTCATTTTCCCACAATATTTTCTATATTCATAGTCCTGTTTTTAAATGTAATTACAGTTCTTTAGACTGTTTACTGGCAGAATTTATTTCCTCATGATATGTTATGTAATGTTCGCGTGTGCAACTTTATAAGACACTCGACTTTGTTTCTTTTGTATATTACTTAGATTGTCTTAAAACGTTTTTATAACATCAACATTTTGTTTCCTTTCCACAACGTGCTGGCATATCCAATACACACCAAACAATCTGATAAATTAATTAGTAAAGTCATAATTCGAAACTGATTTTAAACGGTTTTTCTTATAAAAAATTCTTTGGTACTTTATATCTGAACCGCCTCGAATTGTAACTTTTTTTTCAAATTGTCGAATATCTTTTGCAAGTGATAATTATCCGGTGATGAAAATTTGATAATATTTGGACCGATGGACTTTCCAACTACAAAAATATGATCAGTCAACTTAGGAATTTTGTGCATTATTGAATATTGTAAACAAACTTATTTTGCGAAATGAAAAATAACGTAAATATAAGATGTCTTCCTTTTTTAACTGTGATAGTGTTAATGAACCCGCAAATAAAGATACTATCCACGTTAATATTGATCTAATGAATAAATTTGTTCTGAATGGTAATCAATTAAACACTATGGTAGATCTCGGAATATTTTTTTTTAATTTTCTTTATTTAATGTGTATCATACTTTATTGATAATTTTAACATTTGTTAGTACGATACAACAACAAATACAGTACCTTAACCCGTCCTCGTTAACCATTAGTAGTATATAATAATTTGGTTAGTACTTATTAGTTAAATTATTTCTGAAATATATACATTTCTAAATTATAATATATCCAAATAACACATATATCAATATAGAATGATCTGTTTTGTTGAAAAAGAAGAAGAAGAAAAAATAAAAATCACAACAGCAAAACAGCAAAACAAAAAATTAAAAACAAAAATTAAAAAAACAAAAATATGTCTTACTTTCAACATTCATTACAGCTCTAATGATATTTTGGATGATATTTGTACAAGGAACTATAAAGGAACATAAATGCAGATATAAACTTAGACAAAACAACAAACATATAACAATATTAAATTATAACATAGATGGTGATGTGGATAAGGTAAATAAATGTAAAGTGAAACTAATTTAGGTAAACATGGTACCTAGTTATTCTAGTATTGGAAGCCAGGGGTCCCAGCAAATGTTGGCCATGTGGAAAGGGTTACTTTCTAGTGTAAGAGATTCTTTGCGGTAATTTTTTTGTCCTGTAAAATTTACCTGATTTCCACAAAGTTTTGTTCTTTAGATATAGAATTTTGTCATGAGTCTTATTAAGCTTTTTATCTTATTATTTCCCGTGTTTCCTAAATTTCCAAATAAAATGATATCCATATTAAATGGAATTACTATTTGTGTTTGGTTATAAATCCAGTCACTGAGTTGAATACATAAATCTAATTTTTTAGAGCATGTCCAAAACATGTGCTCAATATCTTCAATAGCTTAATTGCAGAAAATTCATTTATCTGTTTGCTTTATCTTAATTTTGAATAAAAATTTATTTGTGCCTATGATTCTGTGTATTATTCTGTATTGGAACCAATGAAGTTTTGAGCTTTTTGTGGTGTAAAAAGACATACTGTGCACTTTTTTCAAATCCAAATTTTTATTTAATCTAAGAGACCATTTATCTTCACAGTTAAGCCTTGTACTATTTTTTTCTAATAAAACATTATATATATCTTTTGAGCCTTTATTGGATAAAAATAATGTTCTTATATTATTTGGAAGAATTGGTCCATGCATTTTATAAAAACTGTCTAGAGAGATATTATGTTTGAGAGATTTTTTATATGACTTTATTGCTGATATAACCCCATTATAAACAAGAAAATTTCATGAATATTTTGGCATTGCTCAAAAGACATTAATTTACCCTCATTATCTAGCAAATCATGTATCAACCAGATACATTTATTAGCCCAGTCTTTATAGAAAAACAGACGTGTTTCCTACTCTAATATTTTCATTATTCCTAGATCTCGGAATATTGTCTTTATCGGTACTTACCTTGATTAAGTTCGTGATAAATTAAAACATAACTTAATTTTATGTGTGTACAGTTTATGTGCCGTGTTTCTTTCAAACAAAGATATGAACGGACGATGACCTTCCCCCAGCTGATTTAAGATTTAATGTGTGTTAGAAGCATCTCCGCGCTATTAATCAAACCTTTTATGTAAACAGACCCAGAACGACTGATGAAGTAATTTCAATTAAGTTAAAAATAATAATAATAATAATAATAATAATAATAATAATAATTATAATAATAATAATAATAACCCAATGGAAAAAATCAAAATAAATAAAAAATGAAGAAATATTTAATATATATACATAACATAATAAAAACACAATAAATACAAATATAAAAAATTATAAAAACAATTGGCGTTACCGGCAACATGCTTATGATTGATATCTATTTAAAAAATAAATAAAATACATATCTCAATAAAGAAATTAAATTCACATTATTCGAGCATCTATCGCTGCAACTGCAATAGACGATAGAGTGTAGATGTATTACTGTAACTTCAAATTACTTAGACCATTAGGAGAAAGTTACGATCCGCTTGAGTATACATCTAACAGAAACATAACTCGTAGAGTATTGAATGAAACCTCAAACAATGTGAGCCTAATAGCAAAGAGAGCCTTTAATAGAGAGTATTGACAAGAGCTTCGAAATACTTCTCTACGCGTGACATGTTGAGCGCTGGCCCAACCCATGTCAAACATAGGTAACTCAAGTATATTTAATATCTACTCTTAAATTATATACCTGCATGTTGAGCGCTGGCCCAAGCCATGCTTAGAGGGTATGGGCTCAATTTGCAACCTGAGACAGATAACCTTGAGTGAAAAAACCATTTGCACACTAAAACATGTATCCAAAAGAACTGTCAAATGGACAAACAAATGATTCGTTCACCCAACGAGAGGGCTGCCTTGTTACCCATTTTATTCAGGGCTGCCTGAGAACTGTGACAAATAAAGAATGGGTAAAATCCATTATTACATTGCCCAAACGAAATGTGTTACACATGCTGCCCTTGTAACGCATTGAGTATCCCCAAAATTATTCCGAGAAAGTGATTGTGCCAAATTGGTTATGTGTACTGTAACAAACCTTTTTTCAAAAAATAATTAGAGCTTGGTGAAAAAAAATTTAAAAAAATAATCAACCAATGAATATGAGCATTTTTTTTTTTTTTTTTAAATGTACCAAAAAACTGACCTGTCTTGGATAAATAAACGTGTACCAGTTTAACTATAGAACTGTCCAAAACTATTGTATGCCTCTACCCATATCTTCGAAACCGTATCTGCCTGTTTCGCAGCAATAGTAGTTGAGCCGACCAATTAATTGACTATGACCGAAATTCGATCCCATATTATCCATATGAATATGTTTAATGACGAACGGTTCTTGTATATTACATATACTAGTACACATTGTTTATTCACTAAATGAAAACATTGTAAACGACTATAATTGCACTGGAGCTAATATGAAAAATAAATGGGGAATGTGTCCATTGGACACAGATGATGCCCCCGCTTGTATATAACAATATAAAGGGCCATAACTCAAGAACTGTAAAAGTGAAACTACACAAATTAGAACTTGATCTGTGTTTTGTGGTAATTATAATTGTGCATAAGTTTCATAACATTTGGTTGAGGCAAACCAAAGTTAAAGAACAGAAACAAATATTTCAGCAATTTTGAGATTTGTAAAGGGGTATAAATCTAGAACGGTAAATGTGACGCTAACAAAATTCAAACTTGATCTGTGTATTGTGGTAATTAGCATTGTGCATAACTTTCATAACATTTGGTTCAGGCAAACTAAAGTTAGAGAACGGAAACAAAAAAATCAGCAATTTTTCCATTTGTAAAGGGACATAACTTTTGAACAGTAAAAGTGATGCCACCAAAATTCAAACTCGATCTGTGTTTTGTGGTAATAAGCATTGTGGATAAGTTTCATAACATTTGGTTGAGGAAAACTAAAGTTAGAGAACGGAAACCAATTTTGGGACGTACGAACGGATGTACAGACGGACAAGGGTAAAACTTAATGCCCCCTCCGCTACGGTGGGGGGCATAAAAAACAAAACAAAAACATAACAGCTATCCATTTCACTATACTAAGTATTAATAAATTACTAGGGAGACATGTCCAGTAGTGAATATATGAGAATGTTAACGCCAACTGTCATATCCACAACATATTCAGCAATCTAACAGTGAACAAATTGAATATAATCTTAAAATAGGAATTGATGTCCGGCTTGTAGATCTGCAGAGGTTCCAGTTAAAATGTTGTGTATATAAATATACACATTTGAAACTAGCGTGACAAATCAACAAAGTGAATCTCTCTGGGTGTAATAAGTCCATTTCAAAATGATGGTAACATGTAGTTGAAATATTTCAATAAATACAAATATTGTTACAAAAATAAACATGTATATCTATTTCCTGTACAAAATTGCAACTGCTACTTAACAACAAACTTTCTGATTACTATAGACGATGTTGGGGAGGAGTGACGTCAAGATTGACACGCCTGATTTATCAGATAAAGAAGACTACCAAAACACTGGGGTTAAACAATTTGCAGACATCAATAAATAAGAGTTTTGTTCCTACATGCTGTCTATATTAATAATTTTGAAATCCAGAAGGTCATGCTTTTCTTAGAGTGTTACATTTTATTAGTCTTTGAACCTCATTTATTTACTAGCTCTATTTAACATGAACTAGTTTTCAGTAACTGCGAGTACTCTTAGATCGATACGTTGTTTTTTTTTTTTTTTTTTTTTTTGTTAGTTATGGTGTGTGCCTCCTATCGATCTTATGATCTAATGAGTCAAGGCCCCTCCAACCGATTTTTTCAAATAGTCTTATGGTGTGCTGTTATATCATTGTTCCAAGTTAAGGGATGGTTTAGCACTCACAAACACGTTTAAGCCGCCACATTCTTTTTGGGACTGTCCCAAGTCAGATACTGGAGATCGTTTTTGGCTCACTATACGGTAGGAGTGTTAAATGCAAAAAAATAAATTATGTTATCACAATCAAATTTAGTATATTTGTGTGTTTGCTTACAATGTTTGCACGTAAAAAACTGAGTAGGTTTACTCTAATTTTCTTCAAATTCGTTATGGATAATTTCATAAATTTAAATAATAATAAAAATGCTTTACCAAAAATACTTAACACAAAGGTAAATTGCGTAACATAATGGCAGAGTTATCAGACGCCGAAATAAACGTTATCCAGACGTATGTGTGAATAAACGTGATCACTTTGGTATTGGCAACTTGATGGTTTGGACAGAAATCGCACACTGTACACGTACTGACTCATAAATTATCAACAGTAGTCTAACTGGAGTGCTTTATTCAGACAAAAATACCTCTGCAACTGTCCAACCATTTATTACGCATGAAAATCGCCATACTTTTCTTAAGGAAATTGCAGTGTGTGACGTCAACGACTATGCAACCAATGTATTGCGCAATATAGCATAAACATTATACCATGGCCACGTGTATCACACGTTAAACTTGACAAAAGTTTCTGTTGACGTCGGCAGCCACTAGAGTCAAGAAACCATATATGCACCGCCTAGCTAAATGAGTGGAGTAACATTTCGCTGTCCTTTATTCAACGCTGACTTTAGATCCATGTGTCGCAGATTTAGAGATGTCATCGTTGTAAGAGATGACTAGAATCATGATTACATAATCAATGTTCGTGTTGACAAACATCTTCGAACAGCCAGTGCAATGAGGCAACACATCTGTTTTCTTTGTTAAGTTTGTATAGTTAAAGTAATTATTTTATGAAATATAAAACTAATATGAAACGGTTAAAGAAATTTAAAAAAATAATAATAATCAATGTTCAGTATCGTTCTTTTTTGGTTTGTGACTAGTATATTTGAAACCTTACAAAAATATGCTGTGTATTTTATCACTTGTCATTTTTTTCATTGTTCATGACGTGGCACATTTATTTACAAAATATAACAGTAAAACGTTTGAATTGGTGTATGTTTCCATTTAAGAAAATATAAGTTAAGAAAAGGAACGTCCGAAGAAGTGACCCAAGTTATAATTTCTGCCCTACATGTACCTAGACAAACGTATTATGTTTTTACGGTCAATGGAATGAAATGTTATTTTGTTATGATCTTCTTTCTAATGCACGTCCGTAAACATAAATACGCTCCAAGATACTCAGCAACGAACTATACATGGTCTATATAGCCTGACTTTGTTTGAGAAAAACACAATCAGATCATCTCCAACGGATGTAAGAAAACGACGATAAAAAGCACCAATTAACAAGGATGTATCTCAATTTAGTAGCTCATTTAGCAACATCTCGAAAAATAAGGATGTGATATCCCGTTTGTAATCAGTTTTCTACACAGGTAACGCAAAGCTTCAAAATCAGTATTATCAAATTATTTACTGAAATTTTTAGTAATTTTGAGGAAGTAAATACTAAGTACATGACTTCATAATTTACTAGTTTGACAATGATAGCGTTTGTTAAAATCCCAGACGTTACAACAAACATTGCATTGGTATAGCCAACGAGTTGGGAATTATACACACGTTAAAAAGGAACAAAAAGAACTCAAGCGTATATAAAGGAAAATTAAAATTGTGGTGTAAAATTGGCTCTTTGGTCATAAATTCTCAACAAGAGTTTCCCTTGTTAAAGAAAGAATTCCCAAAAATTTCCAATTCACGAAAAGGGCAATTATTGTTGTTCCTATTAAATTCATTCGATTTCCATATTGGCCCTGGTATCAGCCCTCTGGGAGGGTTTCATCCTCTGGATCGATATGGGAGTCTCGGGCTGACACCAGGCCCAATATGGAAAATGCCATTTAGTAATCTATTTATCACATATTAAGCCTATAAATTCGAACAGCAACATGTAATTAACATTTGAATGAAGACTACTAGTATGTATTTATTTAATTTGTTTGCTTTTAATTTTTTTTTTTTTTTTTTTTTTGTTCTTTCTTGATTATTATTTTTTGCATTTTATAACTATGCAATAATAACTCAATGATTCCCGTAACCATCTGGTCTTTTCCGACTATTATAAAAGACGTATTGTTTCTAGCAATGACGACATTATATAGGCCCACTCACTTCCATGATAAAGATCAGTTTATTTCTTTGAACGCTGTGCTGTTCAAACAGTTATATAAACGGCAGGGTTACTTTATAATAAAGTAAGTCTCAAAGATTGAACATAACTCTCCAAACCGGAAGAGGGCCGATATGGATTTTTCATGTGAGGACTTCATATTGCTTTCCCATTGAGATTGTATAGGAAGCCCATATTGGCCCAGGCAGCAAAATGACTTAGGCAAATCAGCTTTTATAACATATGCAAAACCTAATGTTTTCGTTAGAAATATGGGATAAATTAAAGTTCTTTAATGGCAATTAACCCATGATCGTACCCAATTTTATCATGCATATTGCTACCTCCATTTTTTTACCATTTACATATAGATTGCGCATTTGGTTCATGAATCGAAAAATTAGAAAATTTGCATATTGCTTAGATACATGTAATCATGATAAAAACAAATTGTTGTTATTCTCATAGGTATTTAGATGGTAACCAGATTTCTGACTTGTCATTCGTCGTATCTTTATCTTATTCATTATATACATTGTAAGTATTTCAAATTATGTAGTTACATCTCAATGTTTTACTTTTTTTAAATTCATTACATTAGTTTGACCTATCTGAACACTTTCCCATTAAAAAGTAAAATCACAAAAACACCGAACTCCGAGGAAAACCCAAAAAGGAAAGTCCTCCAATCAAATGGCAAAATCAAAAGCCCAAACACATCAGACGAATGGATAACAACTGTCATATTCCTGACTTGGTACAGGCACTTTCTTATGTAGAAAACGGTGGATCGAACCTGCTTTCACAGCCAGCTAAACCTCTCACCTGTATCAAGACACATTATTCATTATTAGAAAAAGAACAGACGATGAGGTCATTGATTTATATTGACCAATTGAAACTGACAATGTCAACATGTTAAGGTAAGCTTATATTCAGAAGTGAAAATATTTGTATTCTGCTGTTTTATTAGCATTCCCTACATTAACGTCCCTGTCGATCCATATTTTCCTCATATACTAGTGGGTTTGCAGTTATGTAAATGTTTGTTCCAGATGGCGTGACAATAACATGCCACACCAAGGTTTAGAAAACACGACTATTCATAAACCACTTAATTGAATTGTTTCATATTTTTTATGTCGGGGCCTTTTATAGCCGACCATACGTTATGGGTTTTTCTTATTGTTGAAGCCGTTCGGTCGCCTATAATTGCTTACATCCACTTCATTTGAACTTTTGTGGATAGTTGTCTCATTGGCTATCATGCCACATCTCCTTATTTTTATAAGATTAAAAAAATAAAGAATGAGCAACACGGATCTCTACTAAAGGGGGACGAAAGATACCAGAGGGACAGTCAAACTCATAGATCGAAAACAAACTGACAACGCCATGGCCAAAAATAAAAAAAGACAAACAGACAAATAATAGTACAGATGACACAACATAGAAAACTAAAGACTAAGCAACACGAACCCCACCAAAAACTGGGGGGTGACCTCAGGTGCTCCGGAAGGATAAGCAGATCCTGCTCCACATGTGGCACCCGTCGTGTTGCTTATGTTATTACAAATCCGGTAAATATTCTAATTCGGTAAGTCATATTCGTGAAAAGGGAAGGGTATTGTAGTTACGACATAAGGAACATATCCGATATCATCTGTGAAACGGTTATTCCATAACGGTCAACCAACTCGTGATGGCGTCCGTAAAATTTACGAAAGGATGATCTCAACTTCACCATTTGGAACTCTTGGCTTAATAGCTTCCTTGTGAGCAGCAATCCTTTATCAAGGAAATCATGATAGGAAACACAAGCCCGGGAATATCGTATCAATTGGGAGATATATACTCCGTATGCAGGCGCTGCTGGAATGTTGCTACATAGAAATGGAAAGTTCACAATTGGGAAGCTGAAATCATCTCTTTTGTCGTAAAGTTTTTTTTTCAACCGACCCTCATTGTCAATTTCTAGATGTAAGTCAAGATATGAGGCAGACTTAACTGTATCTGTAGTATCCTTTATCTCTAGTTCGATGGGATAGATTCGTTCAACATAGTCACCAAATTTTGTACTATTTAGTGAAAGAACATCATCTATATAGCGGAACGTAGAGTTAAAGGATATTGCTAACTTCTTATCTTTCTTCCTAAGAAGTTCCTGTATGAAGTCAGCCTCATAATAATAAAGAAACAAGTCGGCAAGAAGAGGGGCACAATTTGTCCCATTGGAATTCCGACAGTCTGTTGAAAAACACGTCCTCCAAACGTAACAAATATGTTGTCAATCAGAAAATCAAGCATCTTGATAATGTCAGTTTCAGAGAATTTTTTGTTTGAATCAGAGTGATTCTTTACAAAGTAGGATTTATCCCTCCCCAAGACAAGATACTTGTATCTACGTTCGCCATTCTTTTTAATGAAACGAAGTAAAACCAACTCTTTCAATTTGTCTAGATTTATACTAGTGGCACCTGTTATGTTGATAATAGTTTGATAAGATGCACATTTTGTGATACCATTCTAAAGAATGAGATTACTTGATAATATCAACAACAATTGGAACATATCCGTGGTCATCTGAGACACATAATTTCACAACATACAACCAACTCACATGATGTGGTTAATACAACTTTTGGGTGAACATTTACAACCGTAAATTCTATAGTTCCGTGAAAGAAGGAACCCTATATTAATGGTATTGTGATAGCAAACGCACTCCATGTTATACACTTTATAATCGAATGCTGCTTGATTTTTGCTACAAATAAATGAAACGTTCACATTTGGAAATTAAAAAAAGCTTATTTTGTCGTTAAGTTAAGTTCTCAACTGACCATAATAATGAAATGGAGCCGGTTATTGCCCGGTTCAGTGCTAGCAGTGTTGTCATTTATGTTACAGTGGTGTGATTATATATTTCGATTAGGCATGGTCAAATAAAATATTTTATTAAACAAAGATGTGATATTTGAATTTCAAATTCTTCCAAAGCATCATTTCATATCAATTTTATGTTAACTTATTATTTCCGTCAGGCGGGATAAACTGTCATCGCACAATTTGCCTTTTATAGTTTAAAGAAGGTATAAAGCAACCCATTTTTACGGAAGAATTTGATTAAAAAACTATATTAACCGTATATGACAAGATGTATGATTCATGATTTGGAAGCTGTTGACTTTTGTTCTTTCGTCTGATGTTTTTTTATGAAAAATTAGTCATAAAATTGTTTTTTTGGCAATTTATATGTAAGCAATTTGTTTTTAATCTTTCCATATGCATACTGGAAAGGAAGGGCTTTGAAAGTAGACCGATTTATACTTTGTATAACACTTTTAGGTAAAGTGATATTAAGCCTCATTAAACAAAATGTTTTGTTGGGAACTATTGGGTCTCTATGTATCTACTTGATTTGTTCTTGTAACTATTGGAATTCGAGTGTCACCGATTAGTCTTGTGTAGACGAAACGCGTCTGGCGCACAAATTTATAAGCCTGGTATCTTTGAGATGAGCTTTTAAAGATGATCAAGGCTTTAATGATTCGATAGCAACTTATGGAATGAACAAACCTAAAACAGACTAATTTCGTAAAATAAAATTTTCCATCCAGTCATGTTGTCCTTGGTGGATATTTGTTACATTAGAAATCATCCCATATCTCCTAATTTTTATATTTTCTTTTGTATTATTCTTTCAGACAATACTTTCTAAGTTAACAAAACTTCAAATGATAATTATAATGGAGCATATTTACAACTTAGAGAAAAAACAATGTTAAAACAGACTAAATTTTGTAAAAACAAACTTTACATTTCAGGTCATGTTCTCTTTGGTGGATGTTTGTCTCATTGGCAATCATTCCACATCTTAGTAATGTCTTAGGGTTAGATAAGAGTCGGTTACCAATCTGCGATTTTGTGATGCCTTATCAATTGATATAGTCTATTAACATATTTTATAGGAGTAGCACGACGGGTGTCGCATGTGGAGCAGGGTATTCTTATCCTTCATGAGAACCAGCTATCACCCCCATTTGTTTGGTGGAGTTCAGTCTTTAGTTTTCTATGTTGTGTTTTTCGTACTGTTGTTTGTCTGTTTTCATTTTCTGTTTCAGCAATGGCGTTGTCACTTTATTTTTGTCTTATGAGTTTGAATGTCCCTTTGGTATCTTTCGCCTCTCTTTCTCCTATTTTTATATCATGCTTGCAAACAATACTTTCTTAGATAACAAAGCGTCAATTGAGTATCATGATGGGGTATATTTACGATTTAAAATTTTGATTAATAAAGGTCAAGATATCATGAAATCATATATCAATGTTATTAAATCTGTTATGATTTTGATAAATATGAATTTGTAAACTTCCACATTAAAAGAAAATCATTCTTTTCAATTCTTTTTTGAGACGAATTGTGAAAAGATCGTGATTGTTATTTAATTGTGTTTTTAAGCTATCTGTGACTTTGATGTACCAAATCTGGTTGTTTAGTGCAGCAGAGGATATTCCAATGTTGAAATATTTTATTATCAATGAATTAAGTGCATAATATATTGTAAGATTGTTTTCATTATCTTCATTCAACATTAAAAATGCTAAATAGTATTTGTTTAATGCAAATGTATATTTGTTGAATATAGTTTTTTTAAATGTTTTTTTAGGGTTTCATTATGTAGATTTATGAAATTACTGTTGAAATCAGGTCTCGAAAACCTTTGTTGGATTTAAGTAATCAACTGTTAACGTTTTTCGATTAATCAATAGCCTGGACGTTCAAAATCATGTCAATGTTTTTAAGTATTCTTTGTCTTATTTGAAATGCCAAGCGAAGAAAAATAAAATCTTGAATTTCCAACAAATAAGAATGGAAATTATTAGTGTAACATGGCTGTATCATGGACGTGACTTTACCAAAAATGATGCAGACCTTGTGAGTGGATATTACATTTCTGAAAAAAAACTTATGACACGATGGTTGCGATTTTTTTACGGTAAAAAGGAAACTTCAATTTTATCATTGAAATTGTTCATAAGGGTCATATTCATATGACATGTTCATTTGTCAAAAAATTTCATTATTTAAGAGCTTATGTTTTCTATCAAGATTTATTTAATATAGAATTGCTGCTTGCATAGAAACTATCGAGCCGATTATTTCAACGTTAAACTTGAAGTCAATACTTCACAAGTTTGACCTATGGGAGATCTCTCTCAAATAAAAAATAATAATGATTTTTTAATTCATATAACATGTCTTTTTTCAGGTCCTTGAAAAACAATTCACTGGGTGACTTACTAAGTAACCAATTCGATGGATTAACCGGACTACGTCACTTGTAAGTAAAATGATCAAGTTTGAATGTACTATTCATTTGGATCACATGTATCTATTTTTCGAAATAATGTTATAGATATTATTGTCCATTCAAATCAGTAAAAGTAGTGAATATCAAATTAACATAAACTGAGCGGCATTTGAAAAAAAAAACAATTGTGGCATTGTTGGTTTTTCTTTTCACTTCTTGATAATAGAAATATCAATATTTAAGGAATATATATTATACTTTAAATTGACATTAGAATTTATCTGATGTTTAGATAATTTTTCCTACAACATACACGACTTCAATACCGTCTTCAATCACAATTTAAGTATAAAGATAAAGTATACATTAACGCTTTTTACAAAGTTGAGATATCAAGAATTTTCTACTAAGTGGAAATAAATTAATCTCAAACACATTACATACACCAAGAAACATATAATATTCATAATCCCTCTCTGCAAAATAATCTACTACATACTTGACCATTAAAGATTTTCAACACAATAGTTACTGTTTGCACAACACAAGTGGACGGAAATCTCTTTGAACATACCGGTCTTCGTGATTCAAAAACAAATATATCATGTATCGTAACCGACTGCCCTCTGTTGATTATCTATAGTGCGAGCCGTGAAATAATACGCACATTGTTGCTTACATTAGTCGTCAAAGACAACTGTACTAATGACAAGTTGAATTGATATTCTTAAATTTGTTTAAACGAAAAGGAAGTTACATTGTGTATCAGCTTGAATTAGAAAAATATGTATATACAACCTTTAAAAAAAGATGGACTTTTGATTTCGGACGTTTTTCGCAAATCTATTAAGCTTTAAAAAGAAATCAATAAGTCAAAAAAACATATATATACTTACACAAACTTAACACATAACTGTTAAGAGTATGTATACTAATTATGTTTTGAATTTATAGACTGTTCAATACCGATGTTTGTTTTTTTATAAATATGTGTCGGTGTGATGTTTTGTGTTGCATGCAACTATTTTATTTCCAGGGTGCTTCAAAGTATGTGCAATACTTTAAATATTGTATTTTCAACTACAGGCTCCGAACAAACACTCGTGAAAACCTGTCTAAATTGATTAAACGTTCTGATTTCTTTTTTTCCCAATATCTGGCACTAGTATTCGACAGAATTTAATGTGTCACCAACCGATATAAAATCAAAAACTAATCCAGATCAAAAACGGTGACCCTTCATGTTTAAGAAAAAATTTCAAAATCATTACAAATCTATTATTGTAATATAAAGATTGAATAATATGTTATAAACTAAGTTCAAGTTGACTGTTTAATTCAAATAAAAGCTGTCCACGTAGACATAACTTTATTAATTATTCTAAATTAAAATAATTGTAAAGGAATCCAATGTGTCACACTTGATGTGTTGAGGTTCACATTGTCAACTATGATTAAACCAAACTAGATAGTTTCAATTAAACGAATAGCATACGATTATTTATCTTGCATTTAGTGTTCATTTTAAAGTGATCTTGCTTCATGGCCTGATTTTCTTTTGGATGAGAAATATTGACTACTGTACAAATCATCCTATGTTATTTATTCTGAGTAAGCATGTGTGGAGATATGTATTTTTCTCATTCTATCTTAATTTAATAAAAACTCATTCAAGATCGAAAACTCAAAATTGAGTATGCAAGAAGCGGCGCAAAATACAAGTTATATTATTGTATATATTCATTAAAAGAGTAATTCTTATGATATATAGAGGGACTTAAAAACTATATAAAAAAAAACTTAATTTTAGAAAAGCATATTTCCTCAAAAAATATGAGTGCGAAAGATTATAACATGTACTGGAACCCCTGGGATAAAGTCATTAAATAATTTAATAGTGAATTATTATGTATAAATGTGCTTGAAATGTAATTTCCATTATCACTATATTATTTGATGAAAATGTTATACTTTGTCCATATATATATTGTATTCTGTTATATTATATCGTATTTTTATTACTATTTTTGTTTACTCTTATTTGCTTGATTATGCTTATTTTTCTTGCTTGCTTTATTATGTGCCACTATAGATAATATATGTAAATGCCTGTCAATCCATGATGAATAAAAAAAAAATTATAAAAAAAAACTTCTTATGATATCATCTAACATAAAAAGAGGGAAATGCTGCAGACTTTGAGGACCTGAATATGGTTAAAATTTCACCATCTCGATTTTTTTTTTTTTCATAATATATTTTAAATTATTTGAATGTATTATTTGTCGTTTATAGGAATTTGGATGGTAATAAGATTAATGATCTGTCATTTACTGAGTCTCTGTCGTCGGACTTGAATTCTCTGTAAGTAAAGTATTTGACATAATGTACATTTTATGTATTTGACTTCCCAAATATTATTCGCCGCGATATAGCCTTTTTGTGCTGATGCGGCTTAAGGCAATCACCAATCAATCAATCCAAATATTACTTTAAGATGAGAAACATTAAAAAAACTGTCATTGTAATTTAGGGACGTTCCAAATCTCTCTCTCTCTCTCTCTCTCTCTCTCTCTCTCTCTCTCTCTCTCCTTCAACAACCGTTCAAAGTATTGAGCGAAATAAATGCCATTCAAGCTGAAGTAAGCCGTCAAAATGAGTCGATGGGTAAAATTTCCAAAGTATGTCTCAATGAAAGAAAACAAGCTTACTGGAATAAAATTCAAGGCGAAAACCCTCTGCAATCTATCAAAATTGAAGAACAAGAGAAAATCATAATTAACCGGATAAATTTGTAATCCGTGAAATTGACGGAAAGCATTAACCAGATAAATTTGTAATCCGTGAAATTGACAGAAAGCATCAAACGGAAACATAGATACTTATTCTCTTTTGTTTGGGAGCAGAAATCTCACTACTTCATATGAGAACAGTCAGCTATAAAGAAATACATCAATCTAATGGCGCCGTCATGATGACGGAAATCTCAGAAATATGTAACGGTACAATAGAGAAAAACTTCACACAATATGGGAACATGATACTGAGCAAAAAGAAGACAAATCCAACACAATATGGAAAAAACAACAGGAACGTTTTGAAAACTATGAAAAGAGTATGGCGAGAGCTCCATAATGAAACTAAACCTAAACGGATTGCTAGAGACACGGAGTCAAAACTAAAGTTTAATCTCAAATTGGACAATGTTGATGGAACCAACGAAAGCAGAAATCGAAGTTCTTCACGGAATGCAATAAGACGTATATTTAATTTCCCATACGAATAAATATCATATTATAGACAACAACCGAGTCAACAAACCAAATATGTGCGACAGTTTAATAGAATTAGAAGGGAATCTCCCCGTCGAAAATACTAAAAGCCGTGATCATTCCCAGACTAGAAACTATCAACAGAAAAATGACAATTTGATTGCAGTAATTGGTAGAGGATTAGGACGAAGATGAAGGAGATATACGAGATAGGGGTAAAAGTATAGAGAAACATGAAAGACGTGGCATGGTACATGCAGACAAGAATCACGAATTCCTTTTTAAGGAGAGAATCGGATTTAAAACCACCGGATCCAATTTAAGAAAAACAAAGAACTCGAAATAAGGACGAATTGACCAAAAAATACTATTTTTTTCTGGTAGAACGATCGTGATGATGAATTAGCATTACTATTAAAAGAATTTAAATGTGCGACGATACCTTACTAGAATATACAAGAACTACAAACTGATGTGAAAACATTTTTACCAGACAAATGTGACATTGCAAGGAACAAATCAACTTATACACCTGAACCAGGAAAGGCTGAATATTTTGAAACTTATATCGATACGATTTCAAAGTTCCAAATAGCTTTAAAAAGTTGCAAACAAAACATGTCCAATACAGAAAATTCTGCACTCAAGCACTTCAAAGAGGATATTTCTACAATCATTAAAGGAGCAAAAAAATGTAGAGCAATAATAATAATAAACATTATTATAAAGAAAATGACCCAAAAATGTCAATCTTATTCAACGTTATGAAATCCAATTTTCCACTTCTTCATCAAAGTGACAGGAAACAAAATCATGAAAAAGAATAACTCTGTCGACTGCAAATGAATTTGAAAAGGCACTTGACAAGAGCTAAATTTGATTTGAACCAAGAGGAACTTCAAGTTAAAATGTGTGGTGACACTAGACGCGGTGTGTGGTTACCTTGAAACCAGCAGAATAAATTATTTTTAAAATAGACAGATATTCATAGTGAATGCAAACATAACATGTAAATCAATAGATTTAATATACTGTATTACATGCATGAACTGCAAGGAATTAATGCAAGAGTTTTAGAGCTTTACGAACAATAAAGTAACGTCATACTGTGGATTCACTTATTTTCGTGGGTTCCAATTTTCGTGGATTGCAAACAAAATGCATTTTCGTGATATGTGATTTCGTGTTCTTGCCAATGTCAGTAGACAATCTGATAGAAATTTGTATTTCGTTGAACATTTAAATTCGTGGTTCACCTGTACCCACGAGACCCACGAAAATTGGTATCCAACAAATAATAATGAATCCACAATAGTCTCCTCAACGGCGGGCTTTCCGTGAACAATGTTTCCAGAATTTTCTTGTCAATTTACGCAAGTTATGCAGCATATCAAATTGGCCGATTAGCATTTTAAATTTGCTTTTACGTTGGCCCTTGTTTCGTATATAGTTATCTATCTGTTTTTACAATAGTTACACACTAGTGTCTGGTATACAGGTGTGTGTATGAGACACAGGCAAAATAAAGACAAATTAATTATAATTTGTATATTATATATAAAATATACAAAATGTAAATTAAAAATCATAGTCGAGGGCCATCACTCTCCATTTACAGCAAAATATGTAAAAAGTACATGCTATTATGAATATTTAAATCAACTGAATTACATAAATGTACTCCGATAATTATAAATCGTTAAAAGACTTTCTTAACTGATAAGGTATTGCAAATGAAGTAGGAGATGTTACATTTACGTAACTCACGTATACTTAAATGCCTTTTAATTGTAATGTTAATTTATTTCAATAGAAAATCATACTTTACTTCCTTTAAGATATAAGATATACAGAACGTTCTATTCCGTACTATTTTATCTGATTTAAGGAATGGTTTAAACATGTTTATTTTTCATATTGAGTCTCCACATATATTTTGACAAATGTTCACACAATGAATTCATTTTATAAGAAATGTTTATGCATATCTGTTCTCATTAAAACTATATTTATTACAGATCACTGAATAACAATTGTATATCATTCATACAGAATGGAACTTTTGCTGCATTAACTGCACTTCAAGGTCTGTAAGTTTCCTTTATTCCAGTTTTTTATCCTCCCGAAAAATTTCTGGAGCATAAAGTCATCGCTTTTTCCATCAATCTGTCCTCTGGTCAGTCGGTCCGTCATCCGTCTAATTTCAATGGTGCTAATAGAATTTTCCGAGTGGTTACTAGCATTTTCCTTGTTTGATAAGATATGGAAGGGAAAGAAGCCTATTAATTTGGAGGTCAATGGGTGAAAGTTTAGAGTCACTATAGCTTAAATAGAAATTTAAGCGAAAAATGGTTACTGCATAGCAACTTCAGCTAGTCTTGTTTGATTAAAATGAAACTATTACAGATTGGCCATATAGAAAAGGGGAAGATATTTATTGATTTTATGGTTCATATGTAAAAGTTCCATGTAAACTGTTACTATAAACAATTTGTTTGAGTAAAATGGTATTCGGGGGGTTACTTGGGTTGTTCTTGGCTGATTCAAAAGAATCTTATTCAAACGGAAGACATGGGGAAAAGTGGAAAACCTATAGTTTTTGGGGTCAAAAAGGTCCAAATTTTAGGTCATTTTTGCCGGCAATATATAATATTTTCATAAATTGTTTCCACTGGTAACTTGAGTTTCCCTTAGAGGCTTAGACTGATACTTTTGAAAATTGCAGACAACAGAAAGGATAGATAAATGCATTGATGGCTGTTTAAGGTCAATTGGCAAATTAAATGTACCTTCAGAACGAAGACATGTCAATGCAGTATGAATAGGAAGCCTGCTTTGTACTAGACCGACACTTTGAAACCGACTTTTCACGTGCTAGTTCAAAATGTACCATAACAGTCAACATATTATTCTGACGCCGGGATGACAAATCTTCGCTCTTATTCCTTATTCTTGTATGCTTAGCGGAGAAGCAGCAAATACCTACTCTAAAATCAGTGGTTTGAGCATGCTGGGAATTGTACTAACGACCTACCACAGCCGAGGTGAGCACGTGACTACGAGAAAAATGAGGTAATAACATAATAAAAGGCAAGACACCTATTGAAATAGGATTCAAATTCAAGTTCACTGTAACAAAAACAAGAATATTTTCGGATTTTTTTTTCGAATGGCAAACCCAGTATTCCTTGCCTGTTTACAATAATACTTCTGAAGATTGCAGATATGTGGAAGGACAAGACGCCTATCGATATTACGGTCAACGTGTCAAAGCTCAAGATTATTGTTATTAATTAAAAGTTATTTGGGAAAGTTTTTTCTGGAAAATTGTAGATAAAATACATTTCTGTTATAGTATATGATTATGGCAATTTGACCTCATTATATCACAATTTTCATTTGAATTAAATTGGAATAATAACAGAAAAAAGTAAAATAATAAAAATATCGAACTCCAAGGAAAATTCAAAACGGAAAGTCCTTTATCAAATGTCAAAATTAAAAGCCTAAATACATCAAACTACTGCGTCATATTCTTGACTTGGTACAGGCATTACCTTATGTAAAACATGGTGGATTAAACCTGGTTTTATAGCTAGCTTAACCTCTCACTTGTATGACAGTCATATAGAATTCGAGCTTAATAAGACTGAAAAATGCAATTTCCTGTGAAAAAAATGCGCCTTTTTACCTTGCGTAGACGTGTTTACTATTTATTTCTTTGTTTTTCTTCAAGATGATAACTTTTTTGAAGAATGAAAAAACCAACCTTTCATACCTTTTGTTTCATTTATAAACATATCATGAACTCGTCCATTGTCCAGTTTGATGTTCAATTAAATTATTGGACACGTGTGTGTCAAAAGAAATGCAAATTAACCTGTTGTTCAGATATACAGAATATAATTATATTTCAAAAGCATTCAGATGAGTTACTTTCAAAAACGTTAAAGTTTATCTGATTAAGTACGAGGGTCTGGGTGGAGTCTTCATTTCTGTATTCTTTTATGACATTTTTCTCCATTTTTTATTGCTTTTGCTCATTATTCTCTAGTCTATAATCCTATCCAGACACATTGTTTTTATAATATTTACAAAAAAAAAAAATCAATGACTAAATTTGTTCGACTTGAATGTGGACAGAAAACTAAAGACAAATCTTAACTATAAAAGTAAATCCACAAACAAGAGTAAATTCTTTTTATTTATTAAAAATTAAATCTTCAAAACAAAAAAGTTTCCTTTAACAATAATCGTTACGTAGTAGAATTTTACGTTTTGACATAATACACACATGACTTATTTGAAGAGGTAAACAGGTAAAGGTGAAGCAATGATAACTTCCTCCAATCGAATTGCACAAGATTCAATAACAATAACCTGGACATATCAGAATAAATGTTAGGGATAAATTGGGTAGGAAGAAAATGACAGAAATTTTAATACAATTTCTTGTTAATACTACAAAACATTCATCACCCAAACTTTTTGTTAGAACTTCAAAAACCTATATGACTGTATTGGTATAGTTTTTCGATCTTACATTGGCGTATTTAAAACGATAGAAGGTTTGGGCTTCAAAAATCAACAAAATTATAGACTTTATAATTCACTAATACACACACGGATACATAGCAAAATTATTTCTCAATATACTACAAAAAAAAATCATTATAATTAATTCAGTGGTATTGTCATAAAATTCGTTTAAGTAAACAATGGTAAAGCAAATATCGAATTCCCTAACTAAATCTCATCACACACTATCGTCTTTCGATCCTTTTGGTATCTTCTGCCTATTTTTTAAAGTAATGTGTTATTTTCGTACATCGTAGACATTGCCAAAATACATCACTACATATAAAATATTTAACGACCAGTTTACGTGTAACTATGCAAACATTATGTAATGCTACCATAAATGTACTTTAATTTTACAGATATTTAGATGGTAACTCAATATCTGACATAATGTTTGTGAGGACTCTTCCGTACACAATAAATTGGTTGTAAGTATTTCTTACTGTTTTTCATAAATCGAACCTGTTAAAAGTGTCAAAACGCCTCAGAAATATATTGAAATTGGTTCAGCATATTTTCCGTCAACCATTTGTTTATGATGGTTATGGATATGAAATATAACAAAGTATACTGTGAATCACTCGAAATGGAGTGATAAACCTTTTGATACATCAACGTTGCCTACATTATTTATTCTAGCTATCAGGTTTCATACATTAAATATCTCTTACTTCAAAGTCAAAGTCAGAGGATTTCATAACTTCATTATCAGTTTTATGTGTATTTTCGTTGTTGAGCGTTTAATTCATTCTATGATGAACCTATACTTGTATTCCATTATTTGTATTCGAAAGATGAGTGGCGTTAATGATATTTAATTCATGGGAGTTCTTTTTAAGGTTTTTTAAATAATGATATTAATGTCTTATCCTCTAAAGTGCATCCCTATACAAATGCATTAAAAACTGGTTTTTTTTGTAATTACAAACTTATTCATTAATGGAGATATCAAACAAGAAACATTATATAAATTTATATTTTAAGTAAACACAACACGTGTTTTTGAATGACTTACGACTTTTCATTACAAATACGAATTGACAGAAGGATATAACGTTTAATTTAGCAAAGACGCTTCCTTATTTCGGAAATCGACTAATATTCTACTGTAACTAGTCGACCTGCTTCATATTTGTATTTTTTCTTGATATTGACAAATATGGACGAATTCAAGACCAAATTTAAGACAAAGGTGGCAACTTTCCATTTCTCTGCAGAAGCATATCATCTGTATAATTGTATGGCGTTATCATGTTTCAATTAAAATGTTGCATATTCACATAATACATATTTATCTGATAAGGGTACTCTCCTGTCGAAATAAACAGTTTATCCATTGTTATGAGCAACAATGACTGAAATCGACACTACAAAAGTTTTCCATCCCAATCCCGATTTGATTGACAGATACGATGTGCTGTGTTTTTTCTCACGAGGGACATGATTTCACAATCTTAGATTTTTAGAAAATCGTCATATCTGTACATTTATAGATGTCTTCTATTCCTTATTGGGATATTTTAACTAGTTAAAATTGATATGACGGGAACGTGATATATGCATTTCAGGAGGCGCTTACCCTGTCGACACGCATGGTCTAGCCTCAATTTAGCTTCATACAACTTTTCAGATTTTATTATATCCCTTGTATTTTTATTAATTTAATTTTTACTTTATCGAGAAAGTGTATACTATATACGGTATGAACTATCAACGACAAACTCTTTTTTTGTTGGTGACGTCATTGTCCAATTTACGTCACTGATGAGTCTTTTGTAGACGAAACGCGCGTCTAGCGTACAAAATTGTGGTCTTGGCATCGATGATGAGATATTAGTATTTACTACACCTCTTTTGTTAGTGTCTTTGTTAGATTGATTTGTCTAAATGTTTGTTTGAATTTTTTAGTTATTTGTGTTGTATGTCTGTGATGTATGTTTACACAGGTTTAACTGCTGGATCCCAATTATTGTCGCATTAACTTATGATGCCTGTTTGGATTGCTTATTAAATTTTTTAAATTTATTGGAACAATAAGCAACTATCATACAAGTAGGAGGTTTAGCTAGCTATATAACCATGTTTAAACCACCATTTTCTTCGGAAAATCTGTACCAAGTCAGGAATATGGCCGATGCATTTCACTTGTTCCGTTGATTGATAGCGTCTGATTTTGTGAGTTTTTATGGACTTCCCCTTTTTTGGATGTGCCTTGTAGTTTAGAATTTTTGTTTTATTTTTTCCCTTATTGTTTTTATAACATTTGAATATCGGTTAACTACTACTTGTATCTATCTTAGTAAGAATTGTCCTGACTAAAATAAACATCAATTTTATGAATCAGTTGTTATCTGTGATTGAAGTTTTAAATTTAAGTTCGAAATAGCAACACTTGTTTTTCAAATGAAATCAATCAGATTATATTGAATCACTAGTTCGAACAATTAGTTTTTCGGTTATCGAAAAGACAAATTTGCAGAAAATTATATTATCCTGTCTGCTGCTTAATAGATAATCCTGAACAAAACAGAATAGTTGAACGTAGTGATACAATTGATTGAACGATTGTTGTTATTAACGCCAATTGCAGCTCTGGTGGCTTTATCGTGGCGATCAATAGCTAAAGGCGGAGGAAGCCGGAGTGCCACGGAGAGCACCATCGACCTGCGACAGGAAATCTGGCAATCTAAGATTGGAGACAAACGCAGAGATATGACATCTTTGATAGATTCGGATTCACTTATGTTAACTTTATTTTTTTTTTTCTTCTGTAAGACAGACGTCGTCCTCTTGAAATTACCTTTAGTATCATTTGTTCGCTGGAGGCAACAGTAGTTTATCGAATCTAGAACATACAAATCATTGCGTACCTATTGCAACCACAAACAAACTTGTGTTTTATAGATTATAAAACTAAGTAGGATAATCATTGACACTAAATGTTTTTTTTTCAGAAACTATGATAGAAATATTTTGTTGTGTACCCTTTTGAGCTTGAATCTGCAGTTTTGTATTCAGATTTTTGTTTCGCAATCTGTCAACCAAAAAATTGTGTCTATATGAGGAATTTAATCATCATCACAACACATTTAAAGATGTTTAGGAAAAATAATGGTTCGTTATTGCTCCTATGCTTCTTTAAGACATGTAAGGTTGCATTACTTTTTCTCAGACAGCATATTTGAAAATACACAGCATTCTTATTATTGTATGATTAGCGCAAATCATTTGTGATTTTAATTTTGAAAAAATAATTAAAAAACAAAAAAGTATGTAGCGATATACTAAACATACTCTCGAAGCGCAGTAAAAAAAGTTTACTTACTGCTCAAAACAGTAAACACATAAATATACAGAATATAAATAAAAAGATATGTTGGTATGTGTATAGTAGATAGTGAATGAACAATGCACAACAAATTACAGAACATCTAGATAAATCTATAGTTAAGATTTACTTGCATTCTCCTTTCAGATCACTAAACCATAATGCCTTAACAGAATTGGAAAATGGAATATTAGACAGATTAACAAATCTCTATTCACTGTAAGTTAACGTCTTAAATGTTGTTGTAGCAAAATGCACTGGTCGACACAGACTGTTTCCTTATTGAATTTATTCCATCAGGTTTAGAACTACATTTTTGCATCTATATTAAATATATGAATAATATTTAAATCTGTATTTTCTCCCCTACGATATTCGATATCAAGTTCTTGAGACAAATGATGCTAACATCGCCTGTACTGTTTCCAGCGCCTTAGAGCACCTGACCGAAAAGGCTCAATAGAATAAAACTTTCCCGTTTTAACATTGAACGTTATCTGGAGTCGCTTTGAGGTGGTATATATATATATTCAGTTACGATATTTTTAAATGTTGTAAAAGACGACAACACTACTCGAATACTAAAATATCATTTTTGTATAGCATGCCTCATCAAACGGCAACGACTGCCTAGAGAATATTGAGGTTGCGTGGTCGCCTCATGGGTAGGACATCGAACGTTCAATTCCCAGCCAGGTCAAACCAAACACTTGAAAAGAGGTAGTCGTTGTCACCTTCGTCACCTACTACATATTTTCCCGGTTTTACAGCCGGACCAACGGTATTCAGGACTTTCACAAATGAATTTGTTCCATAATGGTGTTTTTTGAGTTGTCAGAATACCAATCCATAAAACAGAGGAAAACATGTCTATCAAAACGTTCAGCATGTTGAAGTGAAGTTTTATTTGGGTGTATATGTTTCTAAAATAAGTCGGTTCTTATCAAGGTAGACTTATTTCCAATTTCAAACAGAAAATTGTCGTCAGCTTTTATCATTCTTTCAGATGTATCATTGTATATCAAAATATACAGGATTTGTTTCTACTGAAAATGATGAATAATGGAATCGATTGACATTGTTGCAAAACCTTTAGTTATATTTAAGTCTCTTAGAAAATCCTAATTATTCTTAGAAATCGAAATTTGCAAGACCCTGCAAAGAGCACATCTTTGGCATGAGTTACAAAAATAAGTAAGATAACAAACATACCGAACTCCAAGAAAAACTCAAAACGGAAAGTCCCTTAACAAATGGCAAAATCAAAAGCTCAAACACATCAAACGAATGGATACGGTATTGGTTTGGCTAATTGTTCAAGAACGAACGGTGACCTATAATTGCGTACATCTACGTCATTTTGTCTATTATGAAAAGTTGTCTTATTGGCAATCAGAACACTTTTGTTTGTTTCGTTATTCTTAAAAATAGAATTTCATTTAACTGTAGAATACTCTTACTGAGAAATCGTATTCACTGATTATTCTCAGAGACTATGTTTAATCTGTTTGTATATTTGCTTTTTGTAAATCACCAAGCACAACACATGTATGTGATGGATTTAACTTTGAATGGTATCGACTGGAATATCTGTGTCATAGATGACCCCGGGTCTTGATGAAATTTGTGTTGTTCATTAGTTAATTTTCTGTTTGGTAGTCTAACGAAGGTTGTTGGTTTTTGTGTCCTTTTTCTTTTTTCGCAATGGTTTGTCTTGTTTTTCGAATTATTGTTTTTAATTTGATTGTTCCAATTGTTTTCTGTCTCTTTTTATTGTTTTTTAGGAATCGAAATTGTTGTAAGTTATGATTGTGAAATTTTTTTTTTTTTTTCTTTTTCAAATTTTTATGATTTATAATGTTCGAAACGAAGACTTTAGTGTTATTACAAATCTATAAGAAATGAAAGTGCAAACAAAATAATTTGATTTGTTGTGGCTTATTCATTTGGAACTGTTTCGGTTCTTGTACATCCTTGGCTTTCAAAGATTCGGCTTTGAGCGTTCCTGATGAAGGTAAATCCAGAAAAGCGCTTCATACGCATAAAATTTATAACGTATTGTTTTCATTTTTTCATCTTTTTTATTTCGTTTAAGTCATACCATGAAAAAATAACGGTTAATCTAGGTTTAAAGCAATGCATCAATCCGATTCAACAAATTTCTCAATTTGTAACAATTTTGTAGTTACGCTATGAGTTAATCTATATTCTCTCTATTTTGAGAATTGTTTTGTTAAAATTAGAGTGACCCAACCTTCATTCAATAACGTTGTAAGAAGTTTGTTTTAATCAAATTAAATATCGATTTAAGATTTATATTAATTTAGCTACACACATCAATATTTGATGACAAATTGATATCTCACTTCTCTTCATTTTTACATTTAATAAGTTTTGTGGATATGTTACAACCACAGGTCAATATACCTATGCTAGTCGACGAATCGACCAAGAAGGCATCCCCAGCTTATTTCTGTGAGGACATGAAATATGGTGATGCTTTAATTTTCTGTAAATTCATGCAATGTTAAAAATCATTTAAAAACACTATGGTTTTTTAATCCACATAATAGCTTGTATATTCAAGACTTGTCACAACTTTTTAAAACATTCAACTCCTGCCATTTCGTCTCCTTTCACGATTTTTTTTAGATATTTGGTTGCTGCTTACTAAGAAGCCTTTTGATCACTGGATATTAATGATAAAGATGAAATCTTTTCTCTAAAAGCTTTTTCATAGAATGGATATTCGAGAAAAAACGCAACATTCTTGTTTTTGCAGGATTAGCGCAAAATAGTTTATATTTGTTCTCTGCGATTTTAATTGTGAAATATAAATAAAGAATAAAACATATGTAGCGATATACTAAACATGCTCTCGAAGCGCAAGAAAATATTTTTATGACTGCTCAGAACAGCATACACACAAATACTCTATACAAGATATGAATAAAAAGAGATGTCGTTATTTGTAAAGAGAGTGAACTAGCCAATAACGAGACACTGCCATCCTCTAGATAAGTTTAAACTTAAGATGCATTTTCATTCCCTTTTCAGATCATTAATTAGTAATGGATTGACAGAATTGGGAAATGGAATATTAGACAGATTAACAAATCTTCGTTCGCTGTAAGTAAACAAACTTATCAATGTGAAATATCTTAAATGTTGTAGCAAAAGCAAATGGCTGAAAATAAGCACTGATTTACACAGTGAATAATATTCATTGTTTCCTTATTTAATTCATGGCAACAGATTAAGAACTGCTTTTGTGCTAATGCAAATCTATGTTTTCTCACTCAGTGATTTAATATAAAGCTCTTGAGACAATGAAAGAATGGCAAATACCCCTGTAATCTTTTCAGCGCATCAGAGCACCGACCGAATGGGCTCAATAGAATACACTTTACGGTTTGTAACGCAGTACGTGATGAAGAGTCGCTTGGTGGAGGTATTATATTATATTAAGATATTTAATGGTATTTCTGTTGTTTTTTTTTTGTTTTTTTTCGAAATATGATTTTTTGGTGTTGTCTGTCTCTTTTTTATTGTTTCTGAGTGAACACAAAATTGTTGTAAGTAATAATTGTTTAAATATTTTTTTTGTAGACATCTTCAAAATAATAAGATTTCGAATGTCGGAAACGAAGTCTTTAGAAATAATATATATCTATATAAAATGTAAGTACAATATAAATATGAATATTTTCATATATACTTCAGTTTACATTTCATTTTATACGTTACAAAGTTTATTCTTTATATTCAAAATCATAATACGTGAATACAATTATTATTGTCTAAGTTTTGACAGAAACATTACTTAGACATAACTTAAAAAGAATATATTTAATAGCAAGTCATAAAGACTAGTCTTTTTTTTGATAATTAACCTACCTAACATATTTATAAGTAATAACATGAAAAAAAAAAATCTTCTAATTTCAAAGCAATGAGTCATTCTGATGCAACAAATACTACACCTTTCACCCTTTTAATTTAAGATTTGATGATATTTTACAACCACTGGGTCAATATGCCACTGCAGTTCGACATTTCGTCCAGGGGGTATCACGAGTCTAATTGTGTCAGCACATGAACTGTTAGTTGTGCTTTTTTTGTCTGGAAATTAATACAATGTTTATTTCATATGAAAACACTAAGGTTTTCTAACCAAAGAATTAATTTTCTAAGCAAAATTTGTCATAGCTTTTGAAATAATAAATTCCCCGATTTCGTCTCCTATCTTGATATGCATATGGAGTTGCTGCTTACTAGGAAGCTATTAAACACAATTAAACAAATGGATAATTATGATAAACCTGAAGCCTTCACTTTTAAACTTGGTGGCCTTCATCATGCTATAGTTGACCTTATAAAATATATAGGTAGCAGTAAACAGTATATATGTTCGATTGGTGTGACAACGATTCCATCTTTCATTCAACGTTTATGATCTTATCCCATGAGACTTATTAGCGGTTTTTTAATTCTTACAATCAACAACTAGGAATGCGTCTAGTTAAACAAGAACTGCATTCCAGGTGACTCTCTGGTTAAGGAACAGATCATACTACACAATTTTTAGATTTTCGTGTTGTTTTTGTGGAACGTTGCTTTTCTCTAGGCCGATTTACTTCAAGTCATTGTGTTGTCTGTAATATGGTAGCAGTTATGTCTTCTTTTTTATTCTTTTTGTGGCTTCTTCTTTTTTTAAAAGAGTTTAGATTATTATTGTAAAGCTTCAGGAGAAACAGCTTTGTATCGAAATGTATCCTGTACCTAGAAAGACTTTATTTGTTTTGCTCGACAGCCAGATACGATATCCAACCACGATTTCAACCTTATGTACATATAGGATATATTTCAATGCAATAATATTTTTTCTTAAGCTTAACTATTGTAATCATAGTTTTTTCTATTTAAAATCAAATCTATTATTAATCCTTCAAAATATTCAATAACTAATACCTACTTTTTCCACAAATTTTCCTGTTCTAGCAGGTCGTCTTCACCAAACACTGTTTGCATACTAGACAAGATTCGAAATCAGTTTGAACTTTACAAACTCCGATGCGATAGCCTACCGCATTAACAATCTTATACACGTATATTTCATCAAAATGGTTATAAAAATAAGAAGATGTGATTGATTGCCAATGGGAAAACTCTCCACTAAAGACCAAATTACATAGAAGTTTACAACGATAGGTCACCGTATGGCCATCAACACTGATCAAAACCCATACCGCATAGTCAGCTATAAAAGGCCACGAAATGACAATGGAAAACAATTTAAACAAGAAAACTGACTGCTTTATCTATGTACAAAACAGTAGACAAAAACAGTTAATGAAATATATAAGTAACATACGGGGTAAGAGAGCTAACACCTACTCTTGTAATATTACACTATCCATGTTGTTACTGCTTTATTCATTTATTTATATTAAAATACATATTGAACAGGAAAATAATGTTTTTTTCTTTTATGCTGGCTTATTTGTATATTTGTTTGGATTGTTTGGATTGTTTTAAGACAGTTATGTTGCATATCTAAGATGAATGTATTTCACGATTTTGGCTGCCGGATCACAATTAAATCAGATAAACGATACACTAATTATGTCTGTTTTATTTGCTCACACGCTGTTGTCAATGTGACGGAACTATAAATAACTGACATACAAGTGGAAGGTTTTGCTAGAGCTATAAAACCAGGTTCAACCCGTTCAACTCGGAAAATGGCATATTCAACCTGTTCAACTCGGAAAATGCCTGTACCAAGTCAAGAATATGCCAGTTGTTTTCTATTCGTTTTGTTAGTTATGAGTCGAGAATTTAGTTGGTTTTGTCAGGTTCAAAGGACTTTTTGTATTAACCTTTGATTTTTAAGTCTCCCAAACGAAGTTTAGGAAGACTTATTGGTTTTGCTCAGTTCTTATTATTCTTCTTCTTCTTCTTCTTCTTCTTTCTTCTTCTTCTTCTTCTTCTTCTTCTTCTTCTTCTTCTTCTTCTTCTTCTTCTTCTTCTTCTTCTTCTTCTTCTTCTTCCGCCGCTTTTAAATTTGAACTTGTCCGCACCTGTTCTCCAAAACCGCTTGTCAGATTAACTTAGGGTTTCACAATATGTTAGACTAACATGTCTAGTGGTGCAATCAGGGTTTTGTTTGTGCAATAGGGTTTATAAAGGGGTACTTTGAGGGGCATAAAGAAAGGAGGGTTTTACTATAGAACCCTATGGGATTTTATTCTTCTTCTTCTTCTTCTTCTTCTTCTTCTTCTTCCGCCGCTTTTAAATTTGAACTTGTCCGCACCTGTTCTCCAAAACCGCTTGTCAGATTAACTTAGGGTTTAACAATATGTTAGACTAACATGTCTAGTGGTGCAATCAGGGTTTTGTTTGTGCAATAGGGTTTATAAAGGGGTACTTTGAGGGGCATAAAGAAAGGAGGGTTTTACTATAGAACCCTATGGGATTTTATTATTCTTCTTCTTCTTCTTCTTCTTCTTCTTCCGCCGCTTTTAAATTTGAACTTGTCCGCACCTGTTCTCCAAAACCGCTTGTCAGATTAACTTAGGGTTTCACAATATGTTAGACTAACATGTCTAGTGGTGCAATCAGGGTTTTGTTTGTGCAATAGGGTTTATAAAGGGGTACTTTGAGGGGCATAAAGAAAGGAGGATTTTACTATAGAACCCTATGGGATTTTATTTTTTTAAATTTTCAAATGATTATAAATTGAAAACCGTTTGTGATAGACACAATCTTTTTAATTGAAAATGTTCGAAATGATAAAGCACATTAAATGAAATACAGGGTAAGTCCCCAGGGGTCACCTCAACCCCCTGCCATTTAAGAAAGTTCTAATATCTTGTAAGTGGTCAAGATCCCCACCCCTAAACCATATATATTCTGGTTTGTCATGCTAAGATGGTTTGAATGATATACAGGGTTAGTCCCCAGGGGTCATCCCGACCCCCTGCTATTTGAGAAAGTTCTAATATCTTTTAAATGGTCGAGATCCCCACCCCTAATCCATATATATTCTGGTTTGTCATGATAAAGCACATCACATGAAATACAGGGTTAGTCCCCAGGGGTCACCCCCAACCCCTGCCATTTAAGAAAGTTCTAATATCTTGAAAGTGGTCAAAATCCCCACCCCTAAACCATATATATTCTAGTTTGTCATGCGAAGATGGTTATAATGATGTACAGGTTTGTCCCCAGGGGTCATCCCGACCCCCTGCCATTTGAGAAAGTTCTCATATCTTGTAAATGGTTGAGATCCCTACCCCTAAACCATATATATTCTGGTTTGTCATGATAAAGCACATCACATGAAATACAGGGTTAGTCCCCAGGGGTCACCCCACCCCCTGCCATTTAAGAAAGTTCTAATATCTTGTAAGTGGTCAAGATCCCCACCCCTAAACCATATATATTCTGGTTTGTCATGCGAAGATGGTTTGAATGATATACAGGGTTAGTCCCCAGGGTTCATCCCGACCCCCTGCACTTTGAGAAAGTTCTAATATCTTGTAAATGGTCGAGATCCCCACCCCTTAACCATATATATTCCTGTTCGTCAACATTTGAATGACGTATAGGGTCAGTCCCCAGGGGTTCCCCTCACCCCCAATGTTCTAATATCTTGTAAATGGTCGAGATCCCCACCCCTAAACCATATATATTCTGGATTGTCAGGCGAAGATGGTTTGAATGATATACAGGGTTAGTCCCCAGGAGTCATCCCGACCCCCTGTCATTTGAGAAAGTTCTAATATCTTGTAAATGGTCGAGATCCCCACCCCTAAACCATATATATTCCTGTTCGTCATGTCTCGAACATTTGAATGACGTATAGGGTCAGTCCCCATGGGTTCCCCCAACCCCAATGTTCTAGTATCTTGTAAATGGTCAAGATCCCCACCCCTAAACCATATATATATTCAGGTTTGTCATCCTAAGATGGTTTGAATGATATACAGGGTTAGTCCCCAGGGGTCATCTTGACCCTCTGCCATTTGAGAAAGTTCTAATATCTTGTAAATGGTCAAGATCCCCACCCCTAAACCATATATATTTCTGTTCGTCATGTCTAGAACATTTGAATGACCTATAGGGTCAGTCCCCAGGGGTTCCCCCACCCCACTGTTCTAGTATCTTGTAAATGGTCGAGATCCCCACCCCTAAACCATATATATTCAGGTTTGTCATGCCAAGATGATTTGAATGATATACAGGGTTAGTCCCCAGGCATCACTAATGCATATAACTTTATTGGACGAAACCAATTTTCACTGGACTTTGCCCAATGTCAGGCGACCCTGGGAATAAGAATTATGTGAGCTTCGTTTGGGAGACTTCGTAACAGCATCCTACTTCAATCATTTCTTGTTTTTTTTTATTTTATTTATTAATTTTTTGATTTTTTCGAAAGTAATTAGTGTATACCCGACCTCTACCTACCACCCCTCCCCCTACCCGCCACGCCCCCCCCCCCTCCCCTGCCCCAGGCCCCCCGTTAACTTTTGTTAGGCTAATGTCTTGTACTAAACGAGAACTGGACACTTTGTCAGAATGGGTCAAAACAATTAGGTCTCTGATAAAAAGTCGAATTCATAAGTTGAATGTGACTGGTCGACTAAAGTCCGTTTTCAGAGACAAAGAAACTG